GTATTCTTATTCTTTACACTACTACATGTGGCGCGAAAGGAAGCAGAACGTAAGTTTCTAGGATCTTACAAGTTGTGTAACTTTAACGATGATGTTGATATCAATAATAAAAATAAAGTTAGTTGCATGTCCTTTACATGACGTGGCAAACAACCCCTGCATGTATTGACTGTTTGTGGTATTACTAAGTAGCTGCGCCTTATGTATAAAGAGGGCACTATGCTTAAATCGCTTTCGAAACCGTCGCAAAAGATGTATGTGCAAATGTTACTGTCCTGTGTAATGTGTTCATGTCTCCTTGACCCCATTCAGTTATGTTTCCTTAAAGACTTGTGTCCTGTATCTTTGTGTTTTCGTGTCTTCTTCATCTCCCTCTCCCGATTCTTCTTCTTCGCTTTCATCGGCTGTAAAATCCGGGAGAACGTTCTGGTTGTTCGTCCACTTCTGAACTTCAGTCTTGGTATGCAAGGGTACAGTTGCTTTCTGGCAGGTCGGCCGGCATAGTGTTGACCACATCACCCATTGAGTCCCGACTGGTCTATAAAATATAGTTCTAGCCCTATATGCCCAATACACCGGAGCGCTCGGTAAATTATTCATTTATGGTAAGTCAGCTGTCACTGCTGTTTGTTTTACCAACTTTTTATGGTGGTGTAAACAGGGGGTGTGAGCCTGAGGATTTAGGGCGGTATAGCTAGTGCTGTCGCCACGCACTGTTCAGTTCAGGCTGTTTAATTTTGCCCCTGACATAAAAACTCCATCACTTTACTGGAGGTTGAACCCCGGTCTCCCGCATTGGAGCCGGTTTTCCGGCGACTACCGCCACCGCCGAGAGTATCCCCTACGCCGCTCACGCGGCGTGGATTGGGGCTAAACTAGCTGGGACTCACGAGCAACAACTTCCGCATCTCCTGCAGCTTTGCAGGACCAGGGAGCCAATATCATTTTTGAAGGGAGAAAGCCCACTCGATACGGATTCGAATTCATTACATTCGGACCGAAAGGTCCCATACACCATCGAGACTCCCGATATTATTAAAACTAATATCATGTATTTATTTTTCACTTTAACAAGACTACAAACTGTACATAAAGGACAGAGGAGACAAAGGGGAGGTAGAGGACGCGAGAGTAAGACTTTCTTTCACTATCCCAGGCGAAGCCGGGATATTAAATCTAGTAATTTCATCATTTACCATGGGACGGAATTATATGTGATTAAACATCATTTAAATGCACAAAATAATAAGACAAATAGTAATAATATTTGCTGAAGAGCAAATAAATATTATAATACCGCAGAACTTCCAAAGTTGACCGTCTCTATATTTTAGTTTCCATAAGCTGACAGCATTTTCTTTGATTTGTTGGCCACCTTAAATTCGCAATGGAAGACTACCTCTTTATTTTGACCACCTCTGTGTGTCTGTCCAGAAAGGAATGGCAAACCACTGGATGTAAATTTGTCTAGAAAAACGTCCTGTAAAGGATACGCAACTAACCTAACCTGTGTGTTGACCACTTGGACTATGACACTCAATAGTATTTGACTCTTGTTTAGTCTTCTTTGTTCACCAGCTGTAAGCTCAGACGGACAGCCCTGGCTATTGTCCATTTAGACTTTGGCTTGAGCTTTGCGGGCACATCCATTTTACTAGCTTATATTTGTTTAGTTGCTTGTTCCTCGGGTAGATGCATTCTGGCTTCAGAGAAAGCGCCTATTTAGTTGACTCTTTAAGTTCACCAGCCGGGTTTTAGCTAACAGTGTCTATGTATGTTCGTTATGTTGCAGTTAACAAGCGCAATGGTCCAGGGCATATGTGTTTAATGTGATATCAAAGAACTAAAGTAAAGTGCGGAGATAAAACTCTCAAATGCACATAATCAACTAACTCCTATAGTAACACAGTTTTAGCGTGTGGAAAAACGCATGAATCCGGGGTAAATTGAGTGTCTGGCGACCCTAGGGGACTCTACGAATTACAAGTTAAACTGATGTCAAATGCGAGGGGATCTCAAGGGTTAAGGTAAAGGTAAAAGTAGAGGCGAAAGGATCGACTTGATTGCATTGAATTTTATTTCACATGGCTCGGTCTCCTACAGCATAACGACTAGCCGCCTGCCGAGAGCATCGCAAAAAGCACCGGCGACGATCCCTAGAGATCTCAGTAGAAATTGCACTCGTATACGGAACGACATAGCCGTGAAACGAACCCACGTCCTTCAGAGCGCGAGGTACATGGCTTGACCACTTCGCCATATCCACCAGGGAAAAATCCGGCTCCATGTGGATTTGAACCCTCGACCTTTGTATCTGCAGGCGGTCGCCTAACTACTACAACACGGCGGTTTCCTGCGATCATCGGTGTCGAAAAAAAAATATCATATTGTATAGTATATTGGGTAAGGCAAAATATAACAAGGTAAAGGTAAAGTCGGGAGATGTGAACCAGCGTCATTGCACACGGTTATAAACCATAAGTGCTCTGCCACCAGCACGGACAGCTGAGAAGAAATGTCCGCCTGTGTCGCCGTTCGCACGTAGCTCTGTAGCTACAGCGACTTTCCTCCATATACCCCAGAGTGTCAACTCTGGTACCCATTTCCTAGAGGCTGGGTGAGCCCCGGGAACCGCCCGGTTTCGAACACCGACCGTGGCTGCAGCAAGTCGCAGCTGGATTTGAAAGCAAGCCTCTTATCGGCTGCGCTAACGCGGCCTCGACAAAATATAACAAACCAACAAATGGTGGTGGTAAATTTGCCAAATTTTGTAAAAGGATATTTTACCATGCTTTTCTGGAGCTATTTATATAAAAAGAGTCGGAAGTGATTCAGCTAACTATAACCTGCTTCAATGTCCCATATAGAAACGCCACGACCTGCCATGAGTAACACGACCAGATTCGTATTTACCAGGGGCTTCCCAGATCCCTGAAAGGGTATTCCCGTTGCAGGAGGTCGCGTTTTTGTTCCGCGACCAGCTCCAGAGGCGGTGCTCTGTCCCAAGTACAATGGATATCGTAGCCCAGTCGAAATTTCGCGCGCTGCAGATTTCGCGTAACTACTCCGCCAAAGTAAAGACTTTTTGTCCCCCTCTCTCGTAAATGAAAGTTAATTTACAAAAAATTTGCGCTTACTTCAAAACAATTAGTTTTGTTTAAATGTTATGGTTTTTTTTTTCACGTACGCTTAACACTAATTTTGCGATGTTTAATTGTTACTTTATTTTCGCTTATGTTTGTTTGTTGTTGTTTGTTTTAGTATCCAGAAGCCATGAGTTGTTAACCCTTAGGCTCGGTATTATGGATATCGCACCCCTTCGGCCTTGATTCCATTGTAAATACCGTAAATCTGGGAGAAAATGTGGCTTTCCTGCCTACCCCCGGGATTGAACCCGGACCACAAGGAGTACGTCACCCGGTCTCCGCGAAATCCGGTTTAGCCAACTACGCTAGAGAGCCGGGCTCGCTTATGTTTACATATGTTGTTGTCACTCTTGTGTGACCACATTTGGCATGTCTGAGCTCTGTAAATTACAGAATGCTTTTTTTTTTTTTTAACTGCTGTTCTGGTTTTTTTTTTTTTTAAACTGCAGAATTAAGAATCGACACCACAGCACTCGGAAGACTCGCATAAGAACTACTGTTTTTTTAAACTGAGGATTACTTCTCAAACTATTGTTTATGTGTATGAATCAGTTACCGGTGCTCTGCCTATACGAAGGTTGAATGAGGCATCAGAGATATGTCCTGTTGGCCTCACGTGTGCCAATACTTCATGTAGCAACCCAGGGGGAACACAAAGAGCACATTATTTTTTTTAAAGCAATTCGACGAAATTGCTGCATTCTTGGGAAAATAGAGGGGAGGGGAAGCGCAATGTGTACACCAGAAGAAAAAGGTTAAAAGCAAACGCTAGGGGTCGTTTTCTTGTTTCAGACAATGTCACTTATCATAGGATAAAACTGAGTAGGTTGGGTTAATGATGACCACGTCATCCCACTAACCACCCAAAAAATGTGTTTACAAAATCATGTTGTCCGTGGACAAGTTTATAAAGGACTTAGCGTGACTCATATGAGGACGTATGCTTCATTTGGAACTGAAAACAATTAGGGGAGGGTTTGGGACTGGTGGTGCCAAAGAAATGAATGTTGTCGATTATGGCGTTAACACTATGTGCTCATTCATAGTGAGTTGATTGCATACACATGTTATTATCACCTTACATGAGCAATGGTTATTTATTGTGACCACACACACACACACACACACACACACACACACACACACACACACACATGAATTCATTGTTGCATAATCCTTTAACTTTACTCTTCATATATTCGTTTTTCAAAACGTTGATGCTTTTTGAACTTGGCTTTTGAAAACATGGAATTTTCGTTACATTTATGAGGTTCTTTGGAAATGATATTTTTCTCTATGTTGTTATATTTCTGTAAATTACGCTTATCTGGCATTTTTTGCACTATTTTATTGCTGACTGTTCTCTTTTTTAACCTAATATAGTTGACTCAAAACATTCTGATATGGAAAGAGCTTACTTTTGGGAGGAGAAAAAAAGTGCAGACATATTTAAAGATAAAGCCTTATCAAGGTAATAAGTGCTTGTTTTATTCACTTTAACGTTCACAACTTTACCGCGATTTTTTATACTCCTATTCATAATGTCTAATTGTATTTCATTTGGTTAAAATAAGTTCACCAGTTTTTCAGTTGGGTATTTCTATCACCGGTGAATCTTGACGATAGTTCTATTATTATCGCTTTATTTTCTTATTGAAAAATATAATCCTAACTACATGTAGCGTCAGTGCTACAAATTATATTATTTATTTTTTGTTTCCCAATTTTGAGCTGACAAGCCAATTGTGGAAAATCTGGCTAGTCTAGGACAATTGCCGTTGGTCGTCTGGTAGAACCGTGGAGTTAACGGTTGCGGTTCCCTTTGTTGACTTGTAACATCAAAGGTTGCCAATTATGGTAAAGACTAGGCACAGCGGTGACATTGACACTGAATCGCCGCCAACATTTATATCACTAAACAACGAGAAAAGTCGACATTCCTTGAAAAGTGACGATGTGAGTAAATTAGTCTCTGTGTTAAGAAAGGCGCTTGTCTGGGTCGTCGGTTGGCTGCTGCAGGCAGCGATAGTGAGAAAGGACGTTGTTTTGCATTCGTGGTTTTTTTAGGCAGTTGCATAGTTTTGATTTCTTTAATCATAATTTGTATTATACCAGGCAGTATATTAGTTGTGGTTCCATGAGCTGTTCCTGCCCGTGCACATTTAAATCTGATGTTTATTAAGTTTAAAGTCTACATTATCATTATCAGTAGTACAGTTCAGTACACCAACACTGCACAATGTCAGCAAGCCTAAACTAACTCTTAACAACATTACATGACTCATTTGATTTCAGATTCTCAGTTCTTAACCCCTCTACGGTACTCTACCTCTAGCGCAACCTATATAATGTGTTATAATAAATTTGGGCAATCCTTATAAGTGATAGGTTCATATTGGATTAATCAGCCACCTTCGTACTCATAATCATTGATCATTATTTTATTACTTTGGATGAAAAGTGGTCTTCATCACTCCTGATGGACGAACAACACAACAAGTATAGGGGATGTAATCAATTGGTGTTAAAGGCGACTATAAGAGAGACAATCCATTGTTTGTATACGGTCACACAATTATAATTTATATTCTTTTATATTTAATATCGTTGGAGTTAGTGCCTGGGTTAGGGTTAGCCCTAACCCTAATCTCAAGAGATATTAAATATGAAAGAATTATTATTATGTGAACTTACACACAAATTATGTCAAACTCGCCCAAATATGGGACACAAGTTCTGTTTTGTTATTGTAAAGCACCACCCCAGCTTTAGTCAAGGGTCCTAATATAACCTTACGGCTTGCAAACAAGCTTCGTAATGCCAAGGTGCCAGGTTTAATCCCAGCTGCGGGCCTTGCACTGTCTTTGACTGTGGTATTGAGAAGCTGACCATCCAGAAAGCAAACTACTGGGAGTAAATTTGTTAAACTTTAATCTGAATATATTTATAATTTATATATATATATATATATATATATATATATATATATATATATATATATATATATATATATATATATATATATATATATATGTGTGCATTACTTGTATTCTACTGTCACCCTTCCCTCGTACAAATCTCTGTTGACCTAGTTCTCCTAAAAAGTGTCTGTGTTCTTACATAACATGTACAATGTAAATAATTCTTTTAAAAAAAGGAACAGGGTTTCTGGGACTTGTACCCAGGTGATTCTCATCCGAATGGTGGCACTTTGTGTCAGTGTTTGTTTTTCACTGGTTGTGTGGTTCTTGTGGGGTTGAACTTGAATCATCCATCAGTGGATTACGTCCCCTGGGGCCAGCACTTACAGTAATGTTAAATTACAGTAGATTACAACCCCAGTGGTCACCACTGCAAGGTTTGCCTAAGTTTCTCTTATTTCACAAATTAAAACAAAATGATGCAGGATAGAGCTGATAAGTCAGATAATTTGAGGTCCAAGGGTGCAAAATTTAAATTTCTGTGACAGGCATACATAAAAATATCACTGCAAATTTGTTGTTTTATCCAGTGTCCTATCTGCAAAAAATGTACTAAGCTACTGTAAGTCTGTAGTCTTTAAGTACTACTTGTTTTCTCAGAAAATGTCTGTTTGCACTGAATATTTGGCGGTGTATACCCACATTGTGCCAGCGGCTTCAGGCAAAGAAGTGCATTGGGGAGGATGCTAGCCTTTTCCTAGGAAGAAGAAATGCTATTAAGGACTTCAGGATACCAAAGAAGTTAATATGGCTCTGAAACTTGGAGCACAACTAAAAAAGATGAAGCCTAATTTAAAAAATTTCGAAAATAAGAGTCTTGCGACGAATCTTTGGACCCATCAAAGATGCAGACGAAGGGAAATGGAGGGTAAGAAACAACAATGAAATTGATTGTCTGTTTAAATCACCATTGATCACTGGCATTATGAGGGCTGATAGACTGAAATCACTGGGGCATATTGAATGGTCATAGAGGAGGACGAGGCAGACCAAGAAGACAATGGAGAGGTAATATCCAGACAGACCTACAGACACTTGGTGTCACCAACTGGAAAGAAAAGGCCAATAAGAGAGATGAATAGAGGCAGGGGATATCTGTAGCAATGAACCTGAAAGGCCAAGAATGCTGAAAAGACGAAGAAGCAGATAATGATTAGGCTCTTTATATAATTGTAACTTATAATTTAATCTTGAGATCTTTATGTTGTATTGACTGTGACATGCTTACTGGTTTTCCAGCCTTCAGGAGGACAGTCAGAAAGATCATATGGCGACAGAGGAGATGCATACAACATATTTGATGAGAAGGTGGTTGAATCACGTCTAAGGCCAAGAATTGGGCCAAGGTATGCACAGGTTTACTTTGAGGTTTAGTCTGGAGCTGTGAGCTGAATACAGTTGTTAGTTTAGACCATTTAGTAATAGGTATGTTGTTCTAATGTGTATTTTTCATATTACTGGTTTACAGAAAATGCTCTGTTTCCTATATTCCTTCTTATTGTATGCGACTTTCTCTTTCTCTCCTTGTCTCTATCCTTTTTATTGTGTGTGTTTTTCTCTTTCACTGTCTGTGTGTGTCGGTATCTGTTTTACTCTGCTCTCCAGTCTGTTTCTCATTATTTAAATATACTTTTAACATAATATTGATTGTTTATTGTCTATTGGTTGTTTTGTTACTTATTTCTCTTCCCACCTTGAAACTGGAAGACTACTGTTTTATCTTGTCTCTCTACCTAAGACAGTAATGTAGTGTAAATGAATATATAATCATTTATTGAATGTTTAATCTGAAAAAAAAAAATTTTTTTATTACTTTTCAGTAGAGCCTACAACTACATTGATGTTGACTCTTCTGATGAAGGTATGATTATAGTAGGGGCAGTTTTACTTTGAAACTGATTGATTCCATTACTGTTATTTGTGTTGCTTATTGCTGAAAGGACCGCAGCCATTTTATTTCTTATGTTGTGTCAGTTAAGACGAGGAATGAAAGTTAAAACATTTCAAAAACAAATTTTTAAGGAAATTGGTCATTAGATGGGATTCCTTGAAGAAAGATAGAAAAAATAAATTTCTGAGCTACTGCTAGTATTAACTGTTAAAAGACAAAGAAGATGTCAGTATGTTGGGTACATCCCGAGGAGACGTGGACAGAGAATTACCAAACACTTGCTGCAATGGGAAACAAATGAATTAGGGAAACAAGAAAGTCCAAGAGTAACTCTGAGACGAACATTGAAGTTTGTGGTGTTGGACTGAATTCCAACCACGATATTGAACAGATTGCACAGGATAGTACAGAATGGAGGAGTAGACTGAGCCCTATATAACATATCAGAGGCATAATTGGATGATGAGGATCCATAGATCGATTGAATATTTGCTCAAACTATTCCACTGTAAAGATATTATGTTTGGTACCCATGTGTTCCAGATTGTTGAGTTTGTAAGCAGATAAGATATTTTAATTGTTTAACCATTTCGCTGCTGCGTTCCCGGCCGTAGCTGCATGCCCTGTGCTAAGCAATGTGGAAAAAAAAAGTCTCTGCTGTGCGCAATACTTTTCTATCCTCCAAACGCAAAAGATGCGTTGGGGGTGAGCGCTATATTTTATGCACCTAAAAATTTTCACCCTAGTGTGTGACAAGTCAGGGGCACGATGGTGCCTGACAAAGCCACCAACCCCCAAGGGGGTAGGGAATTAATGGGAAGAACTGTTCCCAGTCCCTATCCCAAAATTTGATTGACGAACCTGCTACGGCTCCCACTTCAATCATAGTTAACTGTAGTCACCATGTTATTACATTAAAAATTATATTATAATAATACTTGAGTCATCCGTTGCTAAAAAAAAGTGGAATGAACTGAAGGGAAAATTTACAATAAACAAAAAAAAACCAAGTTGGAGGTTGAACACAAGACCTTCCTATTCTAAGGCGGACTTGATAACAACTACACTGGACTATCACTTTGACGGAATGTACTGTTTAAAAGATAATTTTCCTTTGTAAAGAAGTAGTGATTCATCCATATCCCGATAAGGTGAAAATGCACCCTGAAACGATGTGCACAGACTATCAATAATATGTCTAATTTTGTAGTCTAACGCTGCCAGCATTAGCACTGTTGTCTGATAAATGTAACATTCTCAACAATAGTAAAAGTCTGTCCCTCTACATTATTTCACTAACCACTGAAGTTTCTAGCAAACAGTCTTTGTTCCAGTACTAATTTATTTTGAGTTTCTTTGTTTTTGGCATTATCAGACAGCAAAAAAAAAAAAAAAAGAAAGAACAAAATTAGTTCACCTAAATCTGTGTCTGTCCATCGGGAAAGACGGGAACTTGGAGTGGCAGGTGTCTTCTCAATTACTTCCTTGCAGAACCTGTTAGTTTTCTCTGCAATGAAAGTCATCAGTGATTTAGCGAAAATAAAGTAGAGAAAAAAAATCAAGCACTGAACTGTTTGAATTACCAGTAACAAAAATACAGCCAGAGCTGGAGTCATCAAAATTATGCACTACTGGTATCAAATCATCGGTTGACCAAGACAAGTGATCAGTTTTGTGCTGTTTTATATGCACTTCATTGTCGCTGCTGATTCCGATGATGCGGACGCCGGACAGACAAACAGCTTTTTCTTGGACACACCTTTTGAGCCGTCGATATTGATGGCCTAGTCAAATCTTCTTGTTCACTCTTCGCTATCACTCCTTGTCAGCAACTCCATCAATTCTTCATCGACTTTAACAAGTTTTTCTTGCCATTTTGTATTAACAAAGTGTAGAATAATCCAAAACCAAAATTTATTTCGGGGCACAAAATACACAGATCACCGACCACGCTGTCACTAAACAGAGTGATGAGATAATGTGGAATGCAGTAAACACACCTAAATGCATGTGCAAGTGCTTTTAATCGTATGTAAATGGGTCAATTAAATCTAAATATAGCTAATGTATATTGCCTTCTGGCCCCTGAGACAAGAGGTCACAAAAATCTGTAAGGAAAGTCCAAAAATGGGTTGTTACGTCCATAGCACTGAGGGTCAAGAAAAAAAATAACGTCCAAGGACGAGCGTAGCATCGTATAGGAAAACGGGAAAAGACATCCATAGCAGCGAAAGGGTTAAATATCTTTGAAATGTTGACCCCTTTTTTGCCCAGTCTGCAGCTCAACTGTTAATTGTGCCAGATGCTATCTGCCTTTTGTTCTTCTTCTGTACAGCAGCCAGGTGTTCTGAAGCACTCCATACAACAGTTAGGTGTTCTGAAGCACTCCGTACAACGGTCAGGTGTTCCTACAGCACCTATACAGCAGTCAGGTGTTCTGAAGCACTCCATACAACAATTAGGTGTTCTACAGCACTCCAGCCTAAGAGCCTAGCATTCATTCTTAGCTAGTATCTTAGTTGCCTCATGTCAGTGTGTGTATGTATAGATATATACACACATTGAAGGTAGTGGGAGACAGCCCTACTCTTTGGAGAGTTTCATGCTGACTAAATAATCCATAAAGTTTGGTTCTTGCTGTATGATACCTAAACATAATCTATTACCCTGCTGTACAGCTTAGTGGTTGAGAAACTTGAGTTGTTTATTCATGCCTTTTCAAAAAGATTTATTTTTATGTTTCTTCAAAGGCATTTTCTATCCCTGTCCAGGAATACTAGTGTGTTCTCGGTGCCCAAACATTTCTCAAATTCAGACCTTGAGTTGTGGCAGGGTTCCCTTTTAAAGTGTCAAATTATTCTTTCCAAAATCTTGCCCAGACAGTTGAGAAGGCTGATTGACCTGTAGTTTATGCTTTCTACAGCGAATGCTCAGACAGTAATGCTGCACGTTTATTTACTCAGCAAATAATGAAGATAGAAATGTAAAAATGTGCACACTTCAGGTTTGAAATATCTGTATTGAATATATAAAATAAGACCATATTCAGACAGAAAGAACAAGTGCACTGATCAATTAAATTGGCATGCTAGGACAGTGTGCATTAGAAACTTTAAATTCTTCTAAAATTGTGAATGTTGCTAATGCTTTTATTCTTTTAATTTTCTGTATCATTGAAATTATTTTTGCTTTAATTTTGAATCATCTTAGAAATTATCAGGAGGCACCACCATTTTCCAGTTCAAGCATATTCATCAGAACGTTTGAGAGCACGATATAGCAGATCTGAGGAAATGAAGAATGAAATGTTGGACAAACAGGAACGGCCGAGGCGAATTTTGCGCCGGCAGTCTTCCCCTCACGAAGATACAGAGGAGCAGACTACAGAAGAGGAAGATGAAAACGGTAGAGGAGGTAGGCCACGCAGAGAGAAATGCTTAGACAGGCATGACGATAAAAGAAAGCAGAGAAGTTCAGGCAGACATCGTCAGCTTTCTTTAGAAGAGAATGAGGACAATGAATCTGACCGCAAAAGCTTACGCAAGCGACCGCGACATTCAGCAGAAGAGGATGAGGATGAAATCACACCAAGTCATAATTTACGGCAGCATCCCACAACGGAAGATGATGAACATCTGATTCGCAGAAGTTCGCGAACCAGGCGTCAGGTATGATGTCCTTGTAACTCGCATCTTTGTAGCACTTTCTTTTCCTTGCTAAGTGTAACTAAAGCACCTGGAATGTTCTAAAGCAGTGGTTAGATATTCTTCTTTTTCGCCTTCACTGGCTGTAAATCCCAGTTGAAAATTCCGGTTGTTTGGTCTTGTACTAGAACTTGAGTTTAGCATGTGTATCTGTTTTGTATACAGACTGTTGGTTCCCCACTTTTCAGGCAGACACACTCTAGGTCAAGGGAAACACATCTAGTTAGTCGCTTTCTATGACACACTTGTTTAGGGGGAGGGGGCAGTGTGTCAATTCTTGTTTCCCCCAAAATACAAACAGGGAGTCCTATATTAATAATGTAACATTGCTCAGCTTTATTGCTCTCATTTCGATTTGATTTGTACTTAACAGAGTTTTTTAATATATTGATTCATTGTAATTCCAGTGTGATGTTCTAATAACAGGCATCTCAACATCTAAGCTTACTACATATTTTCTCTTAAGTAAAGTAAAAATAGAAAAGTAAAGGTGCCTTTACACACCAGTAACACATCATGCATGTGAGGCTAGACTCATGTTTCTATAGAACAGTTAGCTCTCAGTTGCTGATGTGGTCAACATCACGCTGACCCCATGTACTTACTAGGACTTACCTAGTACCCGGTAAAAGCTGCGTTGACCTGGGAGCCAAGGTCATGCATTAAAAAAAAATTTGTTTATTCAGTCGCCATCCAGATATGAACACCCACCACTTGCAGGTCCGCAGGTGAGCATAGAACCGCTACCCATACATTTTCTGTTGCTTTTTAATTGTAACCTTAGCATCTGTGTTTTTCTAAGGCAGTGGTTAGATTTTAATAACATGACACTTTTTTTTGCTTTATTTCTCTAATTTTGATTTAATTTGTACCGAACAGCATAATTTTTAAATATACTGTCATACCCCATTTTAACAGACAACAGGGTGGGAGACCTCTGTCGTATATTGTCGGTTGTCCATAGTTTCCAAAAATAGTCTATTGTGGCTAATATTACATTATGAACAGAAAAGGAATAATGCTTAATCAAGCATAGTTTTTAATGTGACAATAACTGAATTGTGGCTCTTGTTCAGTGTTGCCATAACTCTGCAGCACGTTTTTAAACTGACAAATTCTAAATCAGTTGCTGCAGAATCTGTCTGTTGCTTCCAGTATCCTTAGAATGGGAGTCTGAGTAAGCTTGCTTATCAAGAAGTTTGGTGTAGTCACAGGTGATGGCAGGATAATATGTTTTTTGGAATTGATTGGAGCTTGTAAAATAGATGCATCAGAGTGTGCCTGTCAAATTGTGGGTCCCCTGAGGATGAACCATGTGGGTCCATTTTTTTGTCGTCATAATGGTCACACACCACAGCTGATTGGAGTAATTCAGTAACAGTTTTTTTACAGAATACTTCCTATATGCAGGCTTAAAAAAGGCTGCATGCAGCTAGCAGGCTACTAGTTTGGCATGTCTGATAGAATTTTTGTGTTTTGCGAACCATTTTTAAAACCTGTTTGAATGAAAATAATGTTGTCAAATATAAGTTTGACTGATGACCTATTAGTCGAAACAGAACTTGGTCATTAAGTTGAGGAGACTGTGTGTGGTAGATAATTTTCTTGAAATTGTCAGGGAAGTAAATGTTAGGTAGGGGAACTGTACATACACCCTGACTCACTGTTCGGAAACCTATGATATGTGAAGGTCGACACTTCACACACCAGCAGAAATTGGTGCCACTTGCCTACCTTTACCCTATTTTTTTAACTTTTATGACAGTGAACCAGTTTTGAGAGCTTCAGGTTCACACTGCAAAATAGGAATCATATAGATAATGAGCTAAGTCTGTATTTTCCACTGCCTTTTGAGGCTTTTTTTATGCACATCAAGATTAACTTCTAAGGCAAATTTTATACTCATCAAAATTAACTTCTCATTAAGATATATTATGACAAAGATTTCTGCTATCACCTGATTTATTTTCATTGTACAGTGAATAAATAATGAGATCTATCATGGGTATGCCGTGAATTGAGGTTGGTGGTCATAACAACCTACGTTATGTTGATGACACCGTTTTGATAGTGACAGGTCAGAAAGAACAACAGGAATTGATAGGTAGTGGTGGTAGACAGTGATAAAATGGGCCTCACTTTGGATAATGGAAAGACAGAATTAATGGTGATTTGTTTTTTTCCAAGAAAAGAATAGCGCCTAAATGTATAATCAAAGGCATTATTTGAATACAAGTACATAAATTTAAGTATCTAGACACATGGATAACATCTGACGGAAGGTGTAACACAGAGATAAAGAACACAATAGGACAGGTCAAAACAGTATTTTATAAAGTAAAAATTTTATTAAATAAATCTGTGTCATTAGAGGTTAGGAAAAGAATTCTTGCATGTTATAAAGAGCCAATTTTAACATACAGCTGTGAATCCTGGACATTAAATAAACAAGATGAACAATTTATTGAGGCCTTGGAGATGGGGTTTTACAGAAGAATCCTTAGAATTCATTGAACATCCAAAAAGAGCAATCCCAGATGTTTTAAAAGAGGCGAGGGCTTGAAAACAGCTTATCACAAACATTAGAAACAGTCATCAATTTTTATTCATGTTATAAGAGGTAAACTGGAACATGTTACAACTGGAAAGATCTGTGGAAAGAGAGACAGATGAAGACAGTGGGCAAGGATTCTTGATAGTCTTTTGTCATGGCATGGAGGGTGTCAGCACATGAACTGATACATGCTGTTGCAGACTGTAGAGAGGCATGATGGCCCACACCAGTCGGCAAGGCATTTGATGATGATGATATATTATGTTTGTTTGTTTTAGTATCCAGAAGCCATGAGTTGTTAACCCTTAGGCTCGGTATTATGGATATCGCAACCTTTTGGCCTTGATTCCATTTTAAATACCGTAAATCTGGGAGAAATGTGGCTTTTCTGCCCACCCCCGGGAGCGAACCCGGACCACAAGTCACCCGCTCACCGCGCAATCCGGTTTAGCCAACTACGCTAGAGAGACGGGCATGATATATTATATACATTTAAACAAACTTTAGTTTTCATTTACTGTGTTTTCTCCATATCCTAACCTTTAATCCAGTCCTTAGTTGATTCGTGTCATTCGCTTAAATTAATCCATAATTTTATAATATTTGGGTTCATATCTGTCCTGTCATTCAGATTTATGATACCCTGAATCAGTCATACCTTGTGAGCATTCCTGGGCAATCCAGACATGGTTCAGGTGACAACAACGATCAGTCTGACACAAAAGATCAAGACAGTGATGACAATCAGGTATGTCTTATAGTGACGGTTTTTTTTAAACATGCTAGTTAAAACAATTACTAGTGGTTAACTTAATCATGCATAATGTACATTAGTTAATTGTCTCAGAAAATGGTAGATTGACCAAAAAAAAGGATAATAGCAGAAGGCATGGTACCAGTAAGGTACTGTAATGATCTGTTTGTGCCTCCACACTGATCACTCGCTCCCAAAGGGCCCTCACAACATTATTACTTCACTGCCAAGTAGTGCAGAACTGGCTAGTCTGTCTGCCTGTTCATTTCCCAACACAAGGGCATGACCTGGAGAAAATATCCAAAGGACACTGACTACTCGGAAGCGATGCTTGCCACTCTGCACGGAGCATGCCTGTCTCCACGTTTCTCAACATGCGCACTAGACCTGAAGTTTTCAAGTTGTTTGCAAGACTGTCTTTGTCAGATAAATTGTCTTTATAAATGTTTTACTAAAGGAATAACCATATTAGTACTTTAAAATACAATAAATTCTTTAATGAGATTATTTCTTTCACTGCAGTTTTCTGACATGTACAGTCGAGTGAAAAGAAAACGTGTACAGGTGAAGCGTAACATGTACGGTGTGCCAGTTAGTGATGAATCTGACTCTGAGCAAGGTATGTTTTTTTTTTCTTCATTGCACAGATGACACATAATCTTTCATGGTACTCCGACCGTGACCTCTCAACCTTTTCGGTATTTTCCTGTGAATGCATGCAGTCAACTGTTTTACATTCCATTTGTTTCTACAGTCTGTCTGATAATATAATTTCTAACTTTATCTCTTGTGTGGTTAACAATTTGTGGTTTAATGACAAACAGTTACGATTCTGGTTACTCCAGTCTACAGGAGCGAATGCTAAACCCATGTTTGGGTAAACATATATATGCCTAGGATGTATAAAATCTGTCTTTCATGCATTGAACATGAACTACTAGTATCAGAACAGGAAAATTACACCACTAGATGAAAGAATTGTCACAATAGATGAATTTGTGAGTTCTATTAAAATACTGAGTTTGATGGTTCAGTCAAATAACAGTACTATCCCTGAGCAGTGTGTACTTTTAGATAAACTGTTAGCCCGCAAGAAGTAGGCTGCATATGCGATGCAACAGCAATTTAGTCGAAGCAACAAACATACATCATGCAAGGACCTAGTTGAGAAAGCTTTTTCGGAACCTCTTGCTATTCTGAAAGTATGAGGACAACATCCTTGCCCAGCTATTAGTAAATGACATATGTTTTGAAGTGTTTGTTGATAGTTCAGTGATATGTTGTTAGAACTCCCAGTTCTGACTATTAACATTTATTAATCCTCTTACCTCGCGAATGCTTAAAAAAAATATTTCATAAACTCATGTGAATTACCCACCCCGCCGCCAAATCCTTTAAAAAACACTCTTTTACACAGGTCATTTATAAATATATTTTTTTTTCTACATTTTGTTTTCGAAATATATCATCGGAATTATCAATAGATATGAGCACTGTGAAGCGTTAAATGGAATACATTCCCCGGCTATTATAAAAGGAAAAAACAGTAGGTGTTGGGTGACTCATAATGCCACGCTTCCATGACCCCTATCACTGAGGCTTATGGCAATGTGTGACATCAGCATGGCTTTTCGTTTCAGACATTGCTAAAAGAAATAAGAGTAATAATAACAAAGGGAGCCATGACGAAGAGGGCATATCTGAAGAAGATGACGATGATGCTGGTGAAAATATCAAAGATGAGAGTAACGTGAATAGGCAAGCTGGGAAACAGAAGAATCTGTCTCTCCACAAGAAGCAGCCAGAAATAGTGAAGTCTTACTCTCTGAGGGAGCACAAGCCCAGGACTGACCTGTATAAGGCTCCAGTTGAAGGTAATATACCATTTCTTTGTTCTCTTTATTAGTTCATTGTTCTTACTGTTACTTTAAGCCCCTTCTGCCCCAGTCACTTGTATTATTATGTGATTTTTTTAATTGCTCAAACTATTAGACATTTTTTCTCTCTCTGTCATCTGTCTTTGTCATGATTTGTTTTCTGCATAGTGCTCTTTTTGGGGTTATTAGATGTTGTAGCAGGTTTAAGTCGTACTGAAGACTAAATGGCTAGCTTATCATCTTCGATTTTTCTTAGTGATTAGTCATTGCATTAGACCTGTATGTTTATAGACTGGTCAGCGCTCGAACGCCACATGTGGTTAGTACCACGCTGGCTATCCTTACTACCCATTTGAGGCTCTGTCAGTCAGGAAGCCCAGGTCAGTTTTGGTTTCCGCCATGCCAGAGTGAAGATTCAAACACACAACCATCAGCTACCAGCAAAAGGGCTGGCTTCTATGCTGACACAGGTAAAACCAGGCTTGGCTGTCATGGTCAGTTACTTGATCACAACAATGTTTTCCAGCATGTACTAATAAAATAAATACTTGTAAGTATATTATGTTAAAACATTATGCCTGTACCATGTTGTTATTATAATAAATCATAATGTGCCTTCCGATTAGCATAGGTGGTCATAGTTCACAACTGCACATGATCACCAGAACTACTGACTTGGTCAGTGCACTTGTGTCACCCACTGATATTGACAAGCCTTGCATATATTTTTATCTTTACCCTCCCTTTGGATTGTCCACATACATTTTGCCAGTAGCAGTTGTCACCAGCTTCTTAAATCCTCTCCTTATAGCAAGTCCAATAATAATTTATTATTTATTTCTGATTTCTTTAATCAGTTTACTGTCTTCATTTGTCAAGGACGTTTGTGTTTCTGTCATTCCATATTCTCTGCATCCTTCTCAAAACTATATATCCGCTGCCATTAGGTGTTTTTGAGGTTATCTGTTATTGCCCCGTCTCACATGCATATAACAACACAGGTTCTATATAACACTTTAACGCTCTTTTTCGCAAGGAAGTTAGCAAATGTTTGTAGTTAGTATCATTTGCACCTTCTAATGTACTTTCGCCAAGACATCTTTTTTGAATCTCTGCAAGGTATCATGTATCAGATGTTATGACTGTTCCATGCTAGTTGTATCGCTTTACTTGTTTAAGCATTTTCTTATTTCAAAATAATTTACAGAATAACAAGAAAAACACCATATAATGTTCTGGACACATTGTTGTTGAGTGAATTTTTATTTTTTATTACTAAAGAGAGACGAATCAAGCGTATTCATGGCTCTGTCTTTTCTGGGACACAGACTAAGAAAATCATTAATCAGGCCTACTGTTCACCAGCTCAGAAAAGAACATTCAGGTAAACTGTTATTCACCATATTTGCCTCAGCTGTCAGCTGTAGTTGTTTGATGGTGTGCATTACTTTAAAGATGTACATTAGCTATGTACAGTTACTATCAGCGTAAATTTGTCATATCTATGTAAGTTATATTATAATTCTGTCATGATATTCAGTATTTTTTGGTAGTCACTGACATAAGCTCAAGGTGTTTCCTTTGTGCTGAAGGGAAGACAGCATTAACAAAGGCAGTCAGTCTGTTGTTGTGATGCTTGGCTGATGGGTGTAATGTCCTAAGTTCCTTCCCCAGCAGAGAGTAAGGGCACTGCTGGGGTGACCATTTATTTACCTTCATAAAATGAATATCGATTTAAAAAAAAACTATTAAGAAGAATTGTCGCCAGAGCTATGGAGTACATGCCCTGTGCTAGATACCTTCTTCGTTGGTCAATAAAGGGAGAGTAGGAATTAAAAAATATGGAAGGGGAATGGAAGAGGAAAAATGCACAGGCGTCAGAAAAGCCAGGTAAAAATAGATGGACGGCGTGATATTTTGTTTAGACTACTGGAACTACCGCAGTGCAATGCAGAGAGGACCCATTTTATAGAAACTAGATTATGATTTTGACATCCTAATACTGCAAGAGGTTATGACGGCTATTTTAAATTGTCCGAGATACCGTAGATACATCAATCCACTGAGACAGGAAAAACTTATGCAAGCTATATTAGTAAGTAAAGGAATACAATATTTGACACTTGATAGGAATCAGTGGAACTACGGCAGTAAAGAGCTTCAAGGGATACAGGCTGAGATAGAGGGCTTAAAGTGGAACATTGTAAATGTATATACAAATGGAGAGTCCTTTTAAAAATTAGCAGTGGGATTAGCTAAAAGATATTGAACAACTGCCAGATGATCAAGGAGACTTTAACGCACCCACCTATGAATGGAGTCAATCAGGGGAAAGTAGACAAGGAAAAGCCTTGGAACATGCTCTGGTGGAATCAGTTTATCTGTATCAGCGATGGGTACTTGGGTAAAAGAAACTTGTTAAGACATATCTAACTGTATGCCCAAAACAGTGTTGTTTTAAGTCCTGAGCCTTGCTTCTGTTAAGTAAGGATCATTGTTGCAAGTATGCAAAGTCTGATTGTCTGGTGACTACTGTGAGTCAGATGACATCAAATGTGTGTGTAACAATAGAAATTAAGCAGCTCTAATTCACAGAAAGTATACATTGTTATCTCTAATGTCAAGTCAGTCAGTACTGTTGAATGGAACTAAAACATGAAGACCTGAAATAATGACTAGTAAAGTACAAGCATTCCTTAATGACAAATGCCTTGTTATAGAACTAAACGGCTATCCTCTGAAAAACGGTCCCAAATTATGGAGGCCGAAAATATACCCTAACAGGGCCTCAGTCACATGTAAATTGCGGACCTCTCCCGCACCGCTGCTCGTGAGTCCCAGCCATCTAGTTTAGCCCCGCTCCGAGCTGCGGGTAACAGGGATAGAGGTTGAAGCTGAAGGAAATATACATTATTATATATGTATGCTTCACATTTCCAGTTTCCTATATTTAATAAATTCATTAATGATATGTTTCACACATTGGTCATAATTTGATTGCTGTTACTTTCAGGAAGCGTTCAGCTTTCCACTCAAGCTCAAGTTCAACATCTTCTGATAGTGAAAGTAGTGATGAGAAAAGTTTTAACCGCCGCAAAGCACGGAGCATGGAGAAGGCTCGGAGCAGGTGATATTTAGTAATACATTTTTAAAATGTGAAATCATACACTGGCTTTTAAAAAAATATTTTTTTGTTTGAGGTGTGCAGACACTAGCTTTTTAAACGTGCTGATACTCAGGCATGCGAATACTGGCTTTTTAAAACATATTATTGAGGTGTGCGCATAGTGGCTTTTAAACATACTATTTTTCAGGTGTGTGGATACTAGCTTTTTAAACATACAATTTTTCAGGTTAAACATACTAATTTCAGGTGTGCAGATTCTAGCTTTTGAAACATATTATTTTTCAGATGTGCAGATACTAGCTTTTTAAGGAGACTATTTATTTAGGAATATAGTACTGTGACTGAGAGGTTAATGACTGCAGTCATGTATTTGGTGCACTTTTAGATGAACTAGCAAAGCACAAACTCCAAAGCTTAGGCGATAATCCTGAGGAGTCTGTGTAAGTTGGATTCTAGAACCAAATGATGCAGTTCATGAAATGAACCCAAGACTTTCAGAGCATACAACAAATGGCTAAACCACTTCACCACAGTGACTTCCTAAAATAATAGGTCTTTCGTTGAAAATACTACTAAGAAACAACTAAATCATATAGGTATAAAAGAACATTAGGGTTCAGACTAACACCTAGCTAAATACGACTGACTGACTTTCTACCCCACTAGGACATCACACAAGCGACAAACAGCCAATGACACAAAGTGCCACCATGTGAATGAGGATCACCGTGGAGAGGTCCCTGAAACCGCGTTCAGACAATTGGCCATATTTATGGCCTGCCTATATTGCGGCTCCTGGCAAAAGCCAGGGTGGGGCTTCAAATAACAAAAAATGTCGTTCTAAAAAGGACGAATCTGGATATAACTAGCTAGCTAAATACAGAGTTATTCAGAATGAAAGGCAGTAGAGTGCTTTGGTTTAAGTGGTTTAGAATGGGTAAATTTCTGATGATTATTTCAGTTTTATTTTGCTTCTAATACATTGTAGGATGATGCCACTGAACTCAAACACTAGTGCTCTTCCTACCGCAAGTTTAATCAAAGACAGGGTCAAGGCAGGCGCCAGTCTTGCTGATATTGAACCCATGGCCATAGACAGAAGTGTAAGTTACATTGAAATGTTTAATGGCATATTATGCATTTTGCTGAAGTCGCAGAGGCTTAATAATTAGTAGTGTGCTTATTTTTTTGTTTTTTGTTTTGTTTTCGTGTAATAGACTAGTCTAAATGCAATCCCTATTAGCAGCCAAACTTTTAATACTAATGCAGTTTGGAGGCGGGGTTCGGTTCAGTCCAGGCTGGTAAAATGGGTATTGAAACAATTTTGTAGGAATAATCTGGGAAGCACATAAAGGAACTGGGGTTTGCAGATTCTGGCTTTTCAAACAATTTTTGCTGTGTTCGGATACTGCCTTTTTTTTTTTTTTAGCAGTCTGTTATTTAAGCGTGCAGATTTGGCTTTTTAAACATATTGAGATGGGGGAAACAATCTAGCCTCGTAAAATGGGTATTGAAAGAATTGTATAGGAATAATCTGTGAAGCACATAAAGGAACTGGAAACATCACTAAGGAAGTATCAAGACTGTCATGGAATGACCTCTAAATGTTTTATGTGTGTAGCATTTAATTAATGATTGACTTGTAAGTAGTTTACGGCATCATCATGTATCATGTCTAACATTGCACACGTTCTCAACAAATACCTGTGTCCTTTATGTAATCGATTGCTGATTTTCTTCCTCTGTTGACCTCTGTTCATAACAGCCTCCATCTTCATTTCCTGGTTGTCACATCCTAACTACTTTCTAGTCTTATAATATGACCCCACAAAAATTATCATTGTCTTGTACTGATGTAGGTAATCAGTTTCTTTCTTAATTGGCCTCTTGAACTTTTGGGATATTGATCTGTTTCTTTTTTCCTCATGTACAGGATTATTTGAATTCTATGGACAAACCAGAGAATCAATACAGTTGTGAAAAATGGCTACAAAAATATTCAACGAAATATTCAATGTCAACTAATTAATATTTGGTTGTAGTATCATTTTCAATATATGGTGAGAAGCTTGGAGGTTGCTTCCACCTTTCGGACGCACACAGACATGTGCACTGATAACAGCTCCAAGTTGTGTGTGTGTGTGCCTTGTATTTAATGTTGTCTTGTGTAATTCTTACATTGCTATTTTTCCAGCATTGTCCTCAGACTTAGGCATGTAATTTCAAAATCAATAATGCAGACTGTTTAGGCTTGTACTATTCACTATGTTTCAGGTAACATTTAACAGCATTGGTGGACTTGGGAAACACATAAGAGCTCTAAAAGAGATGATTGTTTTCCCACTTCTTTATAAGCAAGTGTTCCAGCGATTTAAAGTGGATCCACCGCGGGGAGTCTTGTTCTACGGTCCACCAGGTATGTGGTATTTTTGTAGGGGAGTGTGTTTTATGTGTCATGCTGGGGGGAAAAAACACTGAATAATTTAATTCAGACCAAGTAGTAAGAAACTTTTGGTGCAAAATTATGTTCACAGGCATAATTTTAGTTTTCTTAAATTTCTTCCCCTTTCTTTTCATTCTCCCTGGCAGTGGTTTTCATTTTAGAAGGCCACAGACCTCTGTGAAGGCTGTAGTGTGCCACTTGTTCTCTACTGTTCCATACAGATTAGTTCCCACCAGAACGCTGACTAGTCAGACCTGGGATCTCCCTTCTGCACATGTTCAGTTTAATATGGTGCCTGTCTACATAGGCCAAGTTCTTAATCCTCATTCTTAAGCGATCTGTGCATATGGCTGGGGAGTCAGTTGTGTCCAATTCTCACTATTATGTCAGTGATCTGTTGCTTTCCTGGGAGGAGGTTGATTTAATTCTCAGGATTGTGTTCCAGTGGGTTCTAATGGTTGCTTTGATCTGGGTTTTATTTTCCTGATTAATGTAGCCTGCATCTTGTTTATACTGATCTTAATTTTTGTAGTTAAATCAGTTCTACTCTTCTGATTTAAGAAATGGCTGTACAGAAGGTAGCCTTTCAGTGATCATTTGGAGAGTTCTTACAAAATGATCTACATTAATTTTTTTTTTTTTTTGGAAGCAGAAAGGTAAAAAATACAGAATTTCTACACCAGAGAAAAAGAAGATCACTGAAAATTAACTGACTGTTGCACAACAAATGTTAGTATTCAAGAGAAAGTGTTTGAAATCAGTTTTACATTAGTTCATCGTTGCAGTATGTGTTTATCAGTGGCTTCGACTAACTGTGCATTGAATTGTTTATATTAAAACAAAAGTATTTACAATAAATTAGCCACGCTATAGTCACTAGCATGTGTGAGCAGTCAGTAAATAACATCAGACTAAAAAAGTGACCAGAAGTATCTTGGTGCTGACATATGTAACCAAATAAAGAATTGGCAGCCATATTTTAACAGGTCTCCTATGCTAAAAGAGAGTAATTCTAGCCAATACATCAGTGACAGAAATTGCTGCAGGTTTTTTTTTTTTTTAATTTAACTGGGAGAGGATTACAGTTTGTTCTTTTTTTTTTTTTTAAATTTGTATTACAATATGCTTCTCTGGTAAATGTTAAAATGAAGCAGTTTCCTGTCAGTAGCAACATTTCTTCCTAACTTTTTCATAAGAATTTTATAAAATTAAATTTTTATAAATTTCATTTTTTTTAAACATGCCTCCTTATAATTCTCTAAAATACACCTCTAAGAAACTACAGCAAGAGTTAAGAAGCTGAAGAAATTTTGGAGTTTTGGTCAGTTTTTATTTATTATTTTTTTAATCTAGCAAGTTGAACCCCTAGACTACTGAACATACTGGCAAGTGTGTAGGCCTCAGCTTCTTTACGGTCGTTAAGTTGTTAAAAATCTTAATTTTTATTTTTTTGGGACCTGTTTCCAAGTTACTATTTTGAGCACAGTTAATGTTTTTTTGTGAGAAGTAATCACTAAACACATATGGATCAAAGAATTTACTGTTTTCTTTCTCTTTGACTGTGAAAATAGGGATTTTGTTAAGACAGTCATATGGAGCAAAGTATGATGTTATAATGACGTCAGTTTTTTTTTTCATGTATTTTAGATCTATTTTACCACCCCTTGTAATATATGTGTGTATAGAGATAGTCATACCCACCAATTCTACACACTATGCATTTGCAGCCAGTACCAAAGCTGTCATATAGGCGTATTGTATCAGCTACTGCCCAAAGACTTTATGTCATTAAAAACCATTAAAAGCTAAGAAAACATCATGTGTAAAGTTCCTGCCAGGTATCACTGGTTGTTATCTATACAAACCTTCTACTATGTGTTCATTAATTTTTTTACTCAGTGTTGTTCTATGTCATGATGCCAAACTAACATCCTCTTGTGGTTTTCACCACCTCTGTTCCTCTCACAGTTTCCTATTGTCTGTGAACTGCTCCATTTTTTTTTGCATTCTCATGAGTGTCCAAAGAATTTAGATTGCCTTTTTCTGACCCAGATAACCGCCAGTTTTGCCATTTAATATTATTGTATTTTGTGGGTATATATTTGTTTTACAGTTGAGCAAGCTGCTGTTAAAGATGGATGCTGCCGGACATTTTATCTGTTTGTGATTGGTCCATCTAAACATGTTTGTTCTCTGTAGGAACTGGGAAAACTTTAGTTGCCAGAGCTCTAGCCAATGAGTGCTCACAGGGAAGCAAGCGGGTTGCATTCTTTATGCGCAAGGGAGCTGACTGCCTGAGTAAATGGGTGGGAGAATCTGAGAGACAGCTGAGACTCTTGTTTGATCAGGTGAATAGTTCAGACTGATTTTACTAGTTATAAACTTTGTTTTAATATCCCAGTGATGATGTGTTGTTTAATGGCAGCATGTGTTGCTTGTTGCCATTTTTGGTGCAACTTAGTTTTTTTGTAGCATTAACTAAAATAATGGCTATATGTCAATCATATGAAAGGCTGTTTAAAGACAAGATAGTTATATTTAATGCCTCCTGGTTTTATCAAGCATGGCCGGTCTCTCACCTCACATAGCACTGCGCAATGCATGTGACTCCATAGCATCAAAGCATCTCCAACAGTGATACCCATGTATCTCCAGAGCATCTGCATTTTTGACTCAAATGACAGGGCCCAAGTATTCCTCTTTACACTGTTTCACTAACTCATTCTTGTAGAAGTCTTCAAAGAGACAATAGAAAGGAAGTTATAATTTGGTCAATTACATCTGTTACAAGCAGGCTTCAGACAAGACAGAGGTACCAGGAATCATATTTTTCTCATGATTAACACTGAGAGAAATTTAAACAATACATCAAGGCTAGAGTAATGTTTTCAGCTGTCTTCATCATTAAAAACTGGGGGAATGAGAAATAAGATTTCAAGCAAATTTGATCTACTGAATTCTATTACAGACAATAAGCAGCTGTCAGATTAACAGGTGCAACAACAGTTTAAAAACCTGTAGCAATTTGTATCTATTGATAATAAGAGGAAAACCAATTTGAGAGAGAGAAAAAATATACTGTGCACCAAGAACCAGGCACTACTGTATTTCTACAAAATTTAATCATTAAAGAAAACTGGCTCGTAAACAGTTATGCTGTGGAAACTAAAATACCTATGCTAGATTAAACATCACAGGGGTTTGCATTAAAGAATATTAAAAGACTTCATTTGTGAAAGTCAGGGACCAACTAAAAAACATAACAGTGGACACAAGGCATAAAAGTCGGCATGAAAATGCCTTATTTCAATAAACAGCATTGCGCATATAATTGCTTTGAACGGTAACATTGTTTATGATTTTTTTTAATTTTCTAATCTTGTGTGTTTAGAGGAATGAATACAATAAAACAAGGGATTAAGTACTAGAAGATTACTGTATTGTTAGAACATCTTGTTATAAGGGCCAAAGTGATTACCGCTTCTCTTGTGAGATTAAGTGGAAGCAGAGAGACTGGGGGGAAAATACAGGCATTAGGAAATAAAGCCAGATATTAAACCTTTAGAAAACAATGAAACGTCATTATAAATTGTTACACATATTCATTTTATAACTTATATTACAGGCCTACAAATTTCGACCATCCATTATTTTCTTTGATGAAATTGATGGACTGGCTCCAGTGAGGTCCAGCAGACAGGACCAAATTCACAGTTCAATTGTGTCTACCCTGCTTGCCTTGATGGATGGGCTGGACAGTCGGGGTGAGATAGTTGTCATTGGAGCTACAAACCGTATTGATTCTCTGGATCCTGCTTTAAGACGTCCTGGTCGTTTTGACAGGGAATTTCTATTCCACTTGCCATCTTTGGAGGTAAGCTGAATTCATTCACTTATCGATTTCATTCCATATTGTTCCTTAAAGAATTTTAGGCAGTAGATTAGGACATTTTTGTAACTTCTCAGTAACTTTCATCATTTCAGATATGTTACCTGTATGTTTTTAGTGCCATTTTCCCCAGGGTTTTATAAATAAGTTTACATGTTTATATTGACTGACGGAAGAAGAAATCAAATCTTATTAGTATTACCAATCAATAATTATTAATTTATATCTCATATTTGTTCAGTTATCTAAGATGTGTTATATGTCCTCTGATGTTTGTATGTTGAAGCAGAGGACTCTTTAACATACCATAAATCATGTTGGGCATATGGTGTTAGCCCCATATTGTTATAGACCAGTTGGCGTGAGCTGGATAATGTAGTCAGTTACTTTGCTTCCCAGAACATTTTCTGCTATAGGTCGATGTTAAACAAATCTTTCAGCCTGAGGAATGCCAGATTTGTGCAAATGCTGAATTTTTCTAGGTTCATGTAGGCTGTATATATTTAAGAGGAGATGACAACCTTTACAGTCTGTTAAAGAAAGAAATTGAACACTAAATGAACATTTTAATGATCACAAAAAAATAAAACAGTTCTACATAATTTTAGTTCAGCTAAAAAGAATAGTTTCTGAAAATTGTAATCATTACTACACCCTCGAAAGGAAGTAAATAGCAGATGGTCTGTCAGGATAATCATCTTCATGACTGACAGTAACAGCATCCTTGGCAACAGGAACAGCTTTAATTTGTGGAGGAAATACTGATGGTGATGACAGAACATCTGATTGACTTGATGGCACTGAATTATCAATTGTGGTCAATGCCGTGCTTCTTCCTGCTTTCTAGCTATTTTCTTGAATATTTTATGCATTGCTGTTGTTTCATATACTTGAGTCTTTCTCTAAGTTGATCTTTTAGCAAGTAAACATTCAGGATTTCTTGTTCACTTACAAAACTTTGTTGCTCTACCCCTGCCAGCAGTTCAGTTGTCATTTAACTATAACACCATTGTCTTGCGGTTGTATTAATGATGTGCACTTAGGTGGGTGATAGTCAACAAAAACATTATCTTTCACTAGAAGATTGACTTTTGAATGTGCCAAACAATTATCTGAAATAAGAAGTATATTACATTTGGGGTCTAGTCCAACTGAGTTACAGTAAATCTTAACCTCAGGGATAAAACATTTTTGAAACCATTTCAGTGAATATCATTGGTAACCCACCCCTTTTTGTTGGCATTGTAATGGACAGGAAACTGTCTCATTTCCTTGAGGAATTTATGTGAGTACTCACAGCATTATAGTAACAAATTCCTTCAAATCTTAAAACCCTGATGGCAATTCTGTGTCTTCATGTGTCAGAGTTTGTTGTTGTTAGCATACATCTCTAAAGTAAGATAGTCCCCTCAGCACTGTACACTTGTTCAAGATTTAAAAGGTTCATTGCTGACTGACTTTGCAGATTCATCCACATCTTTGTCTGCTGAATATTTTTTCACTATGCAATGCACAGAACTGTAAGCCGTGTGATGACTTGAAACATTATAGCTGCTCTTCTGAAAATTCACGCTTGTGTTGCAATCCCAGCTCTTCCTGAAATACTTTGGCTTGTTCCATTAATAAATCACCATGAATTTCCACTTGCATGAAGATTAAACAGGTTTATGAGAATCTGGTCCAGTTCCAAACTTTTCCCCTCTATCATTGACTTCCTTACAAACATTTGCTTTTTTGATACTGTCAGAAAAGAACTTCAGCAAATTATCTGTTTTGTTGTTGTTTTTTAAAATATCATATAGTGTTGAAGAGCCAGTGTGGTACGTTTCACAAATGGTTCACACAGACACATCACAATCAAGTTTTTTTTCTTTAAAGCATTCCCACTTTCTCTGCAATCAAAGGCACATGAAATTTACATTTCACAAAGCCTCTTTTATGTGTGTGTGCTGAATCTATAATGGAGCTGTACAGCAGCAAATCAATGATAACATGAGAAGGAATAAGCAGGAATGCCCGCTAGCACATGCAAATTAGACACAACAGCTTTTTCTGGAGTACAGCGCCGTCAAAATTTAAACACCACCTCCAGAAAACTGACGCACCAACATGGTGAATTTTTAAATGCGCTCCCAGATCCCTGCCGGAAATTTGAAAGAACCAGATTATCGATGACTGGAGTTTTTAATGTCAACATGTAGTCTATTTTTAGGTCGGGCCAACCTTGGATCCCAGGTCAGACTTAATCAAATCCACCAGGACTGGGGTTCTAACTTACAGGTGGCAGCCAAGCCTGCTAGCCTTCACATTTCTCAGTGCTTATGTGTAGACACAATTTTTTTTTATGTTTCTTGGTAGTATTTGGAGAGTTTATGTATTTTTTCCTCTCAGAATTATGATTGTGTCAAATGTTCTCAGTTATATAAAAGTATTTTTTTTTTTTTTTTCAAGCAAATCCATGCTTTGTGGTTGTCTAGGGTGTTCTAATTTTCTTATTTAGGGGAGTTGCTGCTGCTCCTCCAGTGAGCTACTTTATGGTAAATTGGATGTGGTGTAGACTCTCTGGGATTGAGTGGACAGTGCAGTGGAACATAGTTTTCATACCTCGTAAGACTGATTCAGCAGGCAGTAGGCAGAGGGTCTGGATGTTTTCAACAAGCAGGTGAAAAAGAAAGACAGACTTTTAATTAGGTTGCGGTGAAACTTCATCAGTATGGGAACTTTTTTTTGACTGCTGAGGAAGGGAGCAGAGAACCTGATGAGTGCAGTGACTTCAATTCTTGACTCATTCATTCTTTTACTCTTGAGTCTGAAGTTGTTTAGCTGAAGAATTGCATTAAGCTGTCATTTTATCCCTCAGGCCAGAAAGCAAATTCTGAAAATCCACACAGCAGCCTGGAGTCCAAAACTGAATGATGATTTTATATCTGAACTCGCTGAAAAATGTGTTGGTAAGTGTTGCTTGTAATAGTAATTTTCCTTGTTTTGCTGCAGTGAAAGAGAGGCAAGATTATTCTGAAAAGTTGACAGCACAAATACTCGTCTTCTGTTAATATCATGGAAACAATAAAACAGTAACATACCATGTGTGTCACCTATAGTGACTATAAATGATTGGGTGAAGACTGGATACCTTATCTCATAAAAACTTTTAAGCTGCAAAATTCAAACAATTGTGAACAAGTCTACAGGCTAAGGCTGAGTTGGTTGAGGGCTATAGGAGATGGGCTAAAGATGATGCTGCAACATAAAGTACATCATGATTGAGTTAGGTGATGGAATTGTTTATTATTGGCAAAGTTTTAATGCAGACAACGTTAGATGGACAGGTAGCTTGGGTAAAGATACTGACAGCAGTAAGTCTAGGTTGTGGTAATAGTAAAAGCACAGTCAGTGGATTTGTTGTGCTGATGATCTAGACAGTTTTTGGCCTTGTTATCAAGAGGCAGGAGAAAACTTATCTGCCATCACTGTGAAATGTCACCAGTAAGAAAAACTTATCACCCAATATTTTATATGTTAATAAAGTGTTTATGGGGCAAGATCTCATGCCTTTAAGTGAATGTATTGTTGTTGATCCCAGTGTTGCAGAGTTGTGTGTTCTTACCAGCCTACTCTTTAATGAATTTACAAATATACCAGAGACACCCGCCCCCCACCCCTTTTTTTTTCTCCCCCATAAAAAAAAAGCCACTTAGATTTAATATAAATAACGGAATAAATTTAAAAACAAAGCATGGCCTCGGCTCATTAACTGCACCTTATAACTCCATTTCACTGCTGGTGACCAGTTAAAACTTCAGGAAGTCCCTTCTGTTGAGATCCCTTCATTTTACAGTTAACGATATTCTGTCTCACTTTCCTCATTTTCAAAGTCCATCTTTGTCTCCTGGAATATACTGAGCGTCATAAAATCATTAGTTAAACTTTGAAACATCTGGAGTTTATGAAAATGGTTATTGTTGAGCATATTTTATAAAGAACCTCAAAATCAGTCGTTAAAGGTATGCCTGTTTAATCGTTCCCCACCCTGACACACACGCACACATTTTTAGAGTTAAAGACATAATCTTTTGTTTGTTTTAACTAATTGACTATAAATATAAATTTTAAAAATAAAACTCAGTTGGTCCATAAAGTGTTGGCTGTGAATTTCAGGTTACTGTGGAGCAGATCTGAAAGCTTTGTGTACAGAAGCAGCCATGTTAGCACTGCGCCGCAGATACCCACAGATTTATCTTACTGATGAAACTTTGCAGCTGGATGTCTCCTCCATCAGTGTCTCAGCCAAAGACTTCTTTGAGTGAGTGTACAGTTAGGGTTTGAAGACTTCTTTGAGTGCGCTGTTAGGGTTTTAAGACTTCTTTGAGTGAGTGTACAGTTAGGGTTTTAAGACTTCTTTAAGTGAGTGCGCAGTTAGGGTTTGAAAACTTCTTTGAGTGAGTGTACAGTTAGGGTTTGAAGACTTCTTTAAGTGAGTGCGCTGTTAGGGTTTTAAGACTTCTTTGAGTGAGTGTACAGTTAGGGTTTTAAGACATCTTTGAGTGAGTGTACAGTTAGGGTTTGAAAACTTCTTTGAGTGAGTGTACAGTTAGGGTTTTAAGACATCTTTGAGTGAGTGTACAGTTAGGGTTTGAAGACTTCTTTAAGTGAGTGTACAGTTAGGGTTTTAAGACTTCTTTAAGTGAGTGTACAGTTAGGGTTTTAAGACTTCTTTAAGTGAGTGTACAGTTAGGGTTTGAAGACTTCTTTAAGTGAATGCGCAGTTAGGGTTTTAAGACTTCTTTAAGTGAGTGTACAGTTAGGGTTTTAAAACTTCTTTAAGTGAGTGTACAGTTAGGGTTTAAAGACTTCTTTAAGTGAGTGCGCTGTTAGGGTTTGAAAACTTCTTTAAGTGAGTGTACAGTTAGGGTTTGAAAACCTCTTTAAGTGAGTGCACTGTTAGGGTTTGAAAACTTCTTTAAGTGAGTGTACAGTTAGGGTTTGAAAACTTCTTTAAGTGAGTGCGCTGTTAGGGTTTGAAAATTTCTTTGAGTGAGTGTACAGTTAGGGTTTTAAGACTTTTTTGAGTGAGTCAGTTTTATCACAAGTAATCATCTGTGTAAATCAGAGAGTCATCACAAAAAGAAGAAGAATTGTTTATAGTTCATATAGTTATTTCATTTCATATGAATGGATAACATAAATAGTATCAGGAAGGCTAATCCTGGCAATAAATAACCAAAGAAGATAAATGTTTCAAGTGAAGGACACAAATACTGTGGCCCTGCTAGACATGGCATAATTATATCCAAAACAACCCAAAAAATCTTACATATCCTACAGAGAAGAACTTGGCATTTATTTCTTTGCTTTGACTTTTCAGTGCAGTGAACAACATAATTCCAACGTCACAGCGAGCTGTAAATACACCAGCCCGAGCTCTGCCAGCACGTGTTAGTCCACTGTTACAGCGACTTCTAGACAGGGTCCTGAGGCAGCTTTGTGACATCTTTCCACCTTGCCTTGCCGAGGCAGCATCAACTGATGCAGCTGGTATGTATGAGAGTGTTGAACTATCATGAAGGGGACACCGTCAGGTTAAATAGTTCAAGGACCCTAGTCATGATAGTGGTGCATCGGATGTATGATGCTAGACCTATGTTTGTGTTGACTAACTGGCATTCGATATATGATGTGGTCAGCATCATGCAGCTCACCTTTACTTTCCATTTCCCGGTACCCATTGTAGACTAGGTCAGTGTGGAAGCTAGGGTCAGATTAAAAATAATCTGCCACAGCAGGAATTTTTAAATGAACACAATCGGTTTGAGGCAAGTTTTCAGCCTTAGTTCCACAGACTGTAATATGTAGCACTTCAATTTATTTCTGAGAAAGATATTGTATAATTGTGATGTTCTAAAAGAGATTTGAGGCACGTAAAACACTAGGACAGTTAATTGCATGTAACCCTGTGGCCTCCACAGCGCTAAAGAAAAATGACCGGTCGTGACTCCTCATGAATTCCAGGACAATCGTTAGAAAAATCACAACCATTTGATACAGGTTATTAATAAGTTTTACAATTTGAATTTATCAACATTTTTTAATAATTTTTTCGGAAATATTTAATGTAAAGGTAGTAATTAGTAAATATGAACAGAGTGAAAGATGAAATGGAATACATTTTCAGGGGCCTTTAAAAATGTGTCCTCAAACACTGCTTGACTTCAGCATTGCTCTAAAAATGTCATTATGTTCACAAGACAACCCACCACCGTTCTCATTCACATTTCAGTTTGCTTCCCTCTGCCAAGTCTAGAAAAAAAATGTAAAAACACTTTATGTGTGGGTGAAATCCACACATATATATGTGTAAATAAAGTACTGCATTTGCCTAATGTATCCTTGAACAAGGCCAAAATACCTTGAAAAAACCTTTAAATCCCTTTAAAAAATGTTTGTCGAATTTGGCTACAAACCCTGTTGATACTACATTGGTGAACTGTATTGCAAACATCAGAAAGAGACAGTCATCACTGTTTGGTTATGTTATAAGAAGGAAACTGGAACATGTGATCGCTGGGAAGAGGGGGGGGGGATGTTGATGATGATGAAGCACTGCGTGAGTAAAAGGTCTGTGAAAATGTATAAAATCTGAATGGATTACACATTGTTGTAGACAGCCACTAGTTTATTCTTTAGGACTGCTCAGAGCGCTAGCTATTAGAACATTTACATGTGTCTGTGAAACGTGGACCTTAACAGCTGAACTTGGAAAGAAGATTCAAGCAATAGAAATGGGATCATTCAGAAAAATTCTTAGCATGTCATACAAAGACTGCATCACAGATGACGAGGGTCGTCATATAATTAACCAGCATATTGGCAACTATAAACCTCTTTTAACTACAGTGAAAAGACAAAAACTGCAATGGAACGGACATGTGATAAGATCCAACAGTCTCTCAAAAACAATACTTCAGGGCCTAGTAGAGAAGAAGAGGCAGATCAAGAAAGAACTGGATACTGAACTTGGTTGACTGGACAGACCTTAGGCATGCAACCATGATTTCCATTGCATCTGACCCTCAAAGGTAGAGGGAGCTGATCAGACAGATGACAGAAATTTGCGACTCAAGGAGATGCAGTGTTACGAGACGATGATGATGATGATATACACATTATTATTTTGTCTAAATAATGTTTAAATGCGTATGTAAGTAGCAAGGGACCTTTTTAATGCCAGTGGTTCACTGGGCACATAGTACTAGACATACTTTTTTTCTTTTAACAAGTGGGTACTTTTTTGATTTATGTGGTGAGCATGTACTTCCCAGATCATTAGCTGGTACCCATTTTAGGCTAGGTCGACCTGAGAAGCCAAGGTAAATTTGGAGTACAGCTTGTAGAGTACTTTTGGTCAGTAGCAAATATGCTTCTCCTCCTTTCCTTTTAACTGTGCATTTTTTATATTTTTAGGCCCCTAGCTAAGCTGATAGCTACCCTGTTTCAGCATTAATAACGTGTTATAATCTGATTTTTGTTTTCAGTGACAGCTAGTCAGGCCCACACTCTGGCAGAGAATGGTATTATATGGGATGAATTTGCTAGTGACGAGGATGAAGACAGTCCATCTATATTTGTTCAACCTACCTCAACCAAAGGCAGCAAAGTAACTAAGCAAAACATAGAGGAACGGCCTAGCACCTCCCATGCAAAGCCAACGTACCTGAGTTTTGCAAGGTAACGTTCCTTTTTACATTAAAAATCAAGCTCATTTGTTGGTTTTAACTTTCAAAAAAAAAAATTTTTGTCTTAAAAGCAAAAAATTGATTCTGCACTTATTTTATGTGATTAGTGTTTCATTTCAATAATTTGTATGTTTATAACAGCAGTGTTAACCACTTAGGCATATGCAATAAAAGGAATTATAGTAACTATTCATGATTGACAGGACTACTCAGATTTGTATAAATTACAATGGTAACTTTTGTTTAAATCTAGTCACTTCTAGCTGCCCCTCTTCCCTTTACCATGTCTGTTATCGAAAACAGGAAATTCCATTAGTCCTTTGTGTACCTGCACATTGTTTAATAGGCTAGGATATGAATATAGTAACTAAAAATAGCATTTGGGGGTGGGGTGTTTTCCTTTGACCCTGTCTGAATTTAACTGGTACCTGTTTTAGGCTCAGTGGACCTGGGCGCCAAGGTCTTAAAAAAAACAAATCTGGCTTGACGCAGATTTTCGGACCAACAAACATCTAGCACCAATGCTACGGCACCTGCCAAGTTTCTTGGTACTAAAAGAGTTAATTGGAGGTCAGAAGTTTGATTAGATCAGAATCATTAAGTTTTGAGTGTTCATTTGTTGCTTTGTAATAAGCAGATTCTTTTAAACTGTTTTCCAGACTCCCTTTTGGGTTTCATGCCCCAAAGATGACTAATTAGTTGTGTTTCCTTTGAAGTTGGAGTGCATCTGCCTAAGAGGCAAGAAACAAACAATAGGTAAGATTTGTCAAATGGATAGCACGCAAAACTCAAGTTCTGGAACAAGACCAAAGTTCAGAGATGGACAAACAACCAGAACTTTCCACTGGAGTTTACAGCCAGTGAACGCAAAGAATTAGTAGTATTCTGGACAAGATCAAAACTCATTTATAAATCATTTATTGTGCTGTATTTTTCTAACTTCAGTTCTGCCACAAGCCGTCCTGCTACATTCCGCCCACGTATGATATTAGTTGGTAAAGCAGGCCAGGGTCAGAGCACGTATATAGCTCCTGCAATTGTACATAAGATGGAGAACCTTCCAGTACATGTCCTGGACCTTCCAACTCTGTATGCTGTGACTGCTAAAACTCCTGAAGAATCATGTGCCAATGTGAGTGTTCCTTTTCACTTGCAAGTCTGATCTTTATTTAGTTTTTTTATTTTAACATCTAAAGCCATTGAGCCCAGTGGATTTAGTATTAGAGGCTTGGTGCACCACCGCTTGTAGTTCAACAACTCTGCATCCTTATTTGTTTATCATATTTATAAAAGGGAACTACAGCAGCCCTAGCACAGTTGCCTTCTAGTCCAGAATATTTGTTTGTGCCTCTGCATGTCTCCCCCCTCTCCGTTTCCTTTTCCATTGATCTTCCAAGGTATAGTTTGTGTTTAGTCAAATAATTTCTTGTCATTCTCCAGGTTTTAGATAATTACTCTGTCACTCATTTGATTTTGCTTAATAAATTGTTTTTCTTCTGTTTTAACCTAGGGAACTGTAATTCAGATTTCAGTTAAATAAATGAAACAGCCTGCATTGATACATTTGTGTCCTACACAGAAAGACTAACTTGCAGAGCTATAACATTAGAGCATATGCAATTGAAAACAGAATAAGCTAAATTTGCCAATGCAGATTGAAACATTTATGATAGAATCAGTGAAATTTATTAACACGTAAAGAGATATTTGTGTTCGAATCAGTAAAATTAGTTAACACATAAAATTGGGTGCACAGCCTAATCCCACTTCCAAAACTATGCCAGGATCGTTCAAAGTTTAGTGGCTTTAGAATCATCACCATACAAAATACATTTGGGAAGATCTCAGAGAAGATAGTCGCTGTCAAGTTGCAAGAATTTTTAGAAAGAAGGAAGCTTCTTCAAAGAGACCCAGATATATGCAGGAAAAGTTCCTGGTCAAATACAGCCACTTTTGCCTGTGATGTTTATAGTGGGTTCCAGTACAGGCAGGGAATGGTGGTGGTGCTTCATATAATAGAGTTAGATACTGACATTTGCAGATGATATTCTTGCTTATAGACAGGGCAGAGATCAGGAGCAAACAGCCTAGGAGTTACAGGCAACAGCTGACAAAGTGATTATTGACTGATGTACAGAAATGAATTTTGAGAGCATGCATCTTCCCTGTGGCTACATACGGATAAGAAAGAGAATAGGGTCTTTTGAGCTGAAATGCTATAGAAAGATTCTCAGAATATCTTGGACAAAGAAGATGAGAAATATTGACATCTTAAAAGATCTGAACATCAAGGAAGATTGGCTAATAAACAGCATCCTTTCTCGAAAGCTGAAATATTTTGGTCATATCAAGCGCCACGACGGATTGGAAAAAATTATAGCAGAAGGCATGGTACCAGGAAGGAGGGGCAGTGCCGACCGACACGAAGATGGGCACTGGATATAAGTGACTCATTGAGTGTGAATGTTCATGAGGCGGGAGAATTGGCAAGAGACTGAGTTTCTTACAGGCAGACTGTGATGAGAGCAACGTTCTGCAAAGGACCTGCTACATGATGATGATGACAGAAATGAGTGCTGTTGTCTACCTAAAAAGGGTGTCTGCTTTGTGGTGTTCTCTAGACAACAGGATTATTAGAGCTGATGTCCCAAATCTCACGATAGAGGGTAGAACCGTGAACAGAGAGAGCAAACCGCAGTATCTGGGAATCACATTTGACTGGAGCCTGTTCTTCAAGGACTATGTGGAGACTGTTGTAACAAAATGCCAAAAGGAGCTCAATTCACTTAAGACTATAGCTGCAGTAGACATTGAGAAGAGAATGCTTTTCACACTATATCAGCACTTGGTCCTCCCATTGATTGATTATGGACTAGGACTGCTCACTGTCTGAGAGAGTTAACTGGTTAAATTACAGTGCATGCAGAATGCAGCTATGTGGGTCATCTTGGAATGTACCAGAGACACCCCCCCCCCCCCACCCCAGTAGTGTGTATGCAGTACAACCTTGGTTTGCTGACTGTTGAGGGGACTCAAGGTGCTGCAGGCTAAGTAATACCTCAGAGTAGCTGCAGACACAGATCACCTTTGCACAAAGTGCTAGATGCAGCTGGTAAGAGAAAAGTCATGGAGAGCTCAGCTGGAGGACATGATCAAACAGGTTACAGTGCCTGCAGAACAGTCAGACTTGTGTAGAGTCATAATCACATTATGCAGGGAGTGGCCAGGAGGTGGATATTCAGCAATAAATTCAGGATAGTGCTTGCTCTGATGATATTGATTATTTATGCAGATGGTTCAGTGTCAGGTGGCAAAAGAAGTTCCTAAAGGTTCTTAGCAAAAGCTAATGGCCGATGTTTGGTGCAGGAGAGCCTAGCATATGATACCACAACATCCACCTTAAGAATGTATATGGAGGCGGCCACTGCAGCTTTCTGCTGTCTAGAGACCACAATAAACACACACATCATGATTGTGACAGACTCAGCAGGCATGCTTTGTACAGAGTGACATGCTTCGCTTCAGAGGTCATGGGTGAAGAGCATTGTCTGGATCTTTTCTCCGTGGCATGCTGGCATGTTGGGAAATGAGCAGGGGGACAGATTGGCTGGCTCTGCACTACTTGGTGGAATAGATGCATGATAAGACAGACATGGTTAAGGCCTTATGGGATCATGTGTACAGTTTGGAACAGAAAATTGATCATCACAGTCTGGTGAGAGTGATGCCGCCAGGGGTGAGGAGGGGATCCTGCTGCTACTTGACGCTCAGAGGAAAGGCAAAGTGGTCATATAACCAAACTGCTATTGGCAGCATTGGTATTGGAACTGTTTGTGGCTGCTGAAGATAAGGACAGAGCGCTTATTGGAATGTCCTGAGTGCTGTGATGTCAGTTCTTGAATCAGCTCAGCTCAACACATCGATAGTTATGTAGAATCAGTTAAATTAGTATGCAAAAAAGAAAACATTTAAGTATCAGTAAAATTCCTTTTCTTGTTACATAAATAGTCCATACAATGATGTGTCCTTAGCCTTCTGTTTTGTATAATAACAGTCATTTTTGACACAGTTAATCCTTTATGCCATGATGCCAAATAAACAACATCATTTACATTATGTGTATTGTGTACAGAGACGTCTTTTCTTTGCAAAATAGTTTTGTTTTCTAAGAGAGCAGTGCCTCTAAGGGGCACGTTTTCCTATCTGTTGTACCTGTAGAGGCAACCTATGCCTAGGACAGTTAAAGTGGTGACCAGTTCTGAAAACTATTCAGCTGCTCAATACCTTTATCCTCCACCTGCCTTGCCATGTTTTTTACATAACCCTGATCAGGGGTTAAGTGGGTAACTCTGATCAGGGGTTAAGTGGGTACTCTGCCCTTGAGGTGTTGAGCAGACTTGCTCAAAGAGGTGCTTTACATCTCCTATTGGTAGAGTTTACCCTGACTCACTCATTATTATCTGCCCATAACTCTGTTTCGTTGCTACTGACTGTCTGATCAGCTCCCACGGCCTTTGATGGTCAGTTGCAGTGGGCTTCATGGTTGCATGCCTAAGACCTGTCCAGTGAGACACCTTCTGTATCAGGTCTGTCTTGGTCTGCCTTTTCTTCTCTTTTCCTCTACTGAGCCCTGTAGTACTGTTTTTGAGAGGTCATTAGTGCAAGTCCGTACCATTGCAGTTTCCGTCTTTTTACTGTAGTTAAAAGGTTTATAGTTGCCAGTGTGCTTGGTATCTCACTACCATCAGTGAAATTGCCTTACAGATAAAAAGACATTTGGTATAAAATCGTTTGAATTAGTGATAAGTAAATGATCATTTATATTTAGTCCTGTATTCTCTGTCTTGACACAGGTGTTCCATGAAGCAAAACGCAAGTGTCCAAGTATAATCTACATGCCATATATCAACCAGTGGTGGGATGTCATGGGTGAAACTCTGAAGGCAGCTCTGCTGACTCTTATACAGAACCTTGATCCATCATTGCCACTGCTTTTGCTGGCAACGAGTGAACAGCCTTATCATACACTGGATCATGTGGTAGGTGCTCTAGTGTAATCATTTTTTTTTTTTCAAGTATGTTACCTCTTGATTTGCATTTGTTTAACAGTATAGCCATACAGCACGATTATATTAGGGCAGCAAACAGTTAGGGAATCACCTGTAGTCTGTGTGTGGGTTGTGTCATTATCAAATTTACTTGTGTTTGGTTAGAGCAGGGAGTGTCCATGGCAGAGTCGCTGCACTGTTTTTTTTTTTATCTTCTTCTTCTTCTGCACTTCCTCTTTTACCGCTGTGGGTGTCGAGGGAGATATAAGGTTCTGTTTCTAGCTCTTCTGGCTGCCTCGACCATAGGCACATCGTGCTGTTGTAGAGTTTCTCTGATGTTATCCTGCCATCTTGTTCTTGGTCTACCCCGTGCTCTACGTCCTTCTTCTCTTTCCATGTATACTTTGTATGGTATGGTGTCACAAGGCATTCTCTCTAAGTGGGCAAACCATTTCACTTGCTGTCTTTGTATGTAATCCAGAATTGGTTCTGTGCTGACTTTTTCTCTTATGATCTCATTCCTGATCTTATCTCTTATGGTCACTCCTACAGCCCTTCTCAGACATCTCATTTCCGTGGTTACTAACTTTCTTTTATGGTTTGTTGTGAGTGACCATGTCTGGCACTGGTAGCACAGAGTTGGAATAAATATGCTTTGAATAAGATGTCTCTTTGTGCTGATTGGGATTGTCTTATGCTATAAGAGGGGGGCTAGCTGTCCCAATACTTGGTTTGCTTTACTGCATCTAATGTTAATTTCTTTATCCAATTTCCCATCTTTGGTAAATGTAGTTCCCAGATATTTAAACTCAGATGCCTGTTTAATGCCTTTGTATTCTATTGCTATGTTTAGATCTGTCTTCTTTTTTCCTATTGACATTACTTCTGTCTTTTCAGTGTTGATTCTCATATTATTTGTTTTACATTCTTCATTCATGGATGTTAGATGTTGCAATTTCATGGCTGTATCTGCTATCTAGGCCTGGTCATCTGCAAAGAGTAATTCGTTGATCTTACTAAGATCTTCATTCATGGGCTTGGCATTCTTGCATATACTGTCAATGTAGGTGATAAACAGCAGTGGTGATAAGACACACCCCAGTCTTACTCCAGATGTCACTGTGAAAGGATGAGATGTTCCCTGATTTATTCTAACTACAATCCCTGTATAAACTTTTGCACACTTCGATGAGGTGTTCGCTAACTCCATATCTTGTCATTACTTTCCATAATAATTGTCTGTTGACTCTGTCAAATGCCTTCTCCTGATCTACGAATGCTACAAATAAGTTCTTATTGTATTCAATGTTCTTTTCTATTAACTGTTTTAGTGTGAAGATTGCATCTGTGCAGCTTCTATTTCTCCTAAATCCCATCTGTTCTTCTGCCAGCTGTGGTTCTATCACTGGTCTCAGTCTTGTTTCTATTATCTTGGCATACATTTTGCCAACATGGCTTAAAAGAGAGATGCCTCGATATTGACCGCATTTTCATTTGCTTCCTTTGTTCTTCCACAATGGTATAACTATTGCATGTTGCCAATCAATAGGGGCCGTTTGTTGTACCCATGCTGCATTCTTTATGCTCGCTCTAAAGGTTGTGTGTTCGATTTCAGACTTCTGTCCTTTAATTCCCTAGTGCAGAACATATAGAGTAATTCATCATAACCGTAGATGCAACACATGCTGAAGAGGCGTTAGTGTATAAATTTATTGGGACCTTCATTTATTAAAGGACTGAGATAGATATTTTTTATTCATACTGTAATGGCTAAAGAGCTTTTGTTTCTTTATTTCCTCATATATTTTGAGTTAATGGTGAAAGGATGAGAGGGTGGATCAATATTAACAGTTTTCATTGCTGTAGTCAACAAAATTTTTGAAAAAAATATTTTCCCAAATTGTTCAGTTGTTGTTACTTTTTAATAACAGAATAATTCTTTCACTCACTTTCAACCTGTTTTAATGTTGAATGGTTGACCTCTTCTGTCCCTCCCCAGCTTCAGTCATTGTTCAGTCAAGCATCCAATGAAGTGGTGCAGATGACAGATCCCAACATGGAAGAGAGAAGAGCTTTCTTTCAAGATTTGCTACTTAGACAAGCTATTCGACCTCCGCCACAGAAGAAACAAGCAGGTAAAAACTGCATCACCATTTCATGTATAATTCACTATAGCAGAGCCGCCATAGGGTGGGTTGTCTTTGAGGTTACAGCTCTGGCTCTATGCGAGTTCTAGGGTTCATATCTGCACCGATGGAGAATTTTTTTATTGTTTGAGAGTTTAACTTAGCTCCCAAGTCGACTCAGTTTATTTCCTGGGAATTAAAAGTAGCCAGTGTGATATTGACCGCATAAACCAGAATGCCACATAGTTTATGAAAATATTGGTCTAGCTGATGTAGCGGCTAGATGCTTGCCTTTGGAACTGAAGGTCATGGGTTTAAATCCTCATGGAGCTAGATTTTTCCCAAAACATGGCTTTGGCTCCCAGGTCAGCCCAGCCTTAAATGGGTACCAGGTAAAGCCCTGAGAAGTAAAGTCGGCCGCCTTGATGTTGACCACATAACCTACAGAATGCCGATTAATCTGTAAAGTATAGGTCTAACACTGTGTGCCCAATGTACTTAAAGGCATGGAAAGGGTCCTTTACAATACTTTTTAGAAATGCCTGAAGTGCCAAAGACATAAAAAATGTTCTTTTCTGACTTCACTAATTGTGCTATATAAGCTTCATAGCATTATGTTAGACTGATGTGAACTGGCAAAGCTCAATAGCTATATTTTTATATATTGTGAAATTTTTCATCTCTCTGATCAGTCTTTTAATTTTAAATCTAAACTGCAAAATTTTCACCATAATGTATTTAAATTCGCAGCTGTGAGTTTTTTTTCCGTTATGCATTCAGGCAAACACCCTACTCGGCAGAGTATATTGTACAATTTCTGTTTAAACCAAGTGCAGCTAATAAAGGTATGTCTTCGACCTGATAAAATGGTACCGTACCAGCAAGGAGAACAGTTGCACATAAAAGTCATTTACGTCTCTGTTCAAGTGAAATGCTCATCATTTAACATTAAATATTACCGAATTATTATTTTGAGGAGTGGCTAGCTGACCGGTAGGATGCTAGACCTGTCATTTGGTAAACCCAGGTTCAGTTCTTTGGTAGGGTGAATCCTAACCTGCTCATGTAATGACAACTGCACTCTCTGTGAGCACTAAATCATCTGGCTGAAGACCATCCTGCTCTACACTGCCCCAAAAATTGGTCAGTGCAGACAGTAAAGATTATTTTCTTTAGAGTTCATCTTCAGTATATAGTATGATCAACTGTTGTTTATCTTTAATATATAGTATGATCAACTGTTGTTTATCTTCAATATATAGTATGATCAACTGTTGTTTATCTTTAATATATAATATGATCAACTGTTATCTTTAATATATAGTATGATCAACTGTTGTTTATCTTTAATATATAGTATGATCAACTGTTGTTTATCTTTAATATATAATATGATCAACTGTTTTTTATCTTTAATATATAGTATGATCAACTGTTGTTTATCTTTAATATATAATATGATCAACTGTTGTTTATCTTTAATATATAATATGATCAACTGTTGTTTATCTTTAATATATAGTATGATCAACTGTTGTTTATCTTTAATATATAGTATGATCAACTGTTGTTTATCTTTAATATATAGTATGATCAACTGTTGATTATCTTTAATATATAGTATGATCAATTGTTGTTTATCTTTAATATATAGTATGATCAACTGTTGTTTATCTTCAGTGTATAGTATGATCAACTGTTGTTTATCTTTATTATATAGTATGATCAACTGTTGTTTATCTTTAATATATAGTATGATCAACTGTTTAAGTATTGTTAGATTGTTTTGTTCTCAATTTGTTTGGTTCTGTTATCAACGTGTCTTATGCCTGCTGCTGTACTCTACCATTTGTGTTCATAGATCTGTTCTTTTTCTGAATTAGAGAAATTAATCTTGTTTCAGAAAAAATTCTTGAACTTTTGAAATCAAACTCCAGTTTAAAACAAAATCATAAAAGAACTTTAAAATCAAGAAATCAAATGCATTTCCCCTTATCGATGCGTACGTATGAACCATTAGAGTCCAGTGTTGAAGTGTTTACAGAGTATGTGAATGATTATGACGCCGTGGAAGATGTTCTGTATCCTACAACGTCGTTAACTAACAGTAAGAAACGACCCCACACAGTGCTTGGTTTATCGATGCCAGAAGCAAAGAGAAGACATCGCCAAGCCACAATCAAGCAATCTTGCAAAACTATACATCCAGCACTTCAGAGAAAAGCTTTTACCATGACGTTAAGGTCACAGTCTAAAAATGCAAAACTCAATAGCAACCAGTCTGCTAGGCAATCTGAACAGCTGTTTGAGCCGGTAGTCAGAAAATCTGACCGGCCTACACTATCTAGGCAAGACTGGTTCCAGAAACATAACCTGCTTTGTCCGCAAGTCAGTCATGAGTTAATGAGTGTTCCCCACACACGGTATGTCATGTCTGTGAGCTGTCTTGTTGCCAACAGTCATATTTTGTTTTCATTATTTCTCTACTTTTTCCAGTTGTGAAAAATGTTGGTAGTGTGTATACTGATGTTTGTGTGTGTGTTAACATCTGTAAATTGCCCCTGTCTTTGTAAATCAGAATAGAATTTTATACAATTTGTTATGAGAGCTGTTGTTGAGAATCTCTACCAAAAGGACTAGGCAGCTACCAACCAAGAAGGGACACCTGAATTAATGAAACAACATTTGCCTAGTATGTATATACTGTTCCAAAATAAAATGGACACAGGTGCAGTGGCAATTGATCTTGAGGGTGCTTACGATCGAGTCAGATACAGAAACATTCTACACATGCTGCTGAAAATGCAAGTCTGTCCCTGGATTGTTAACTGGGTGGCAGTGGTCCGGTATGAATACAAGGTAGCCTTTATTGAGGAAGGGCTCCTGGACCTCAGACTCATGTACTATCACGCCCGGTTTACCCCAGGGTCCAGTCATTTCACCTGTACTCAATAATGTATACACAAGTAGGATTGTAGCCATTGAGACACCAGGAATTGGAAGGGTGCTCACATGTGCAGACCATGTCTGGCATATCGACAGTGCAGAAATAGGAAGAGGATATCAAGTGATGTTGGATACAATTTATGGTTATGATTGGTGTAAAGACACAGGATGTTTGATAAAAATGAATAAAGCATCAACATTATGGTGTTCATTGGACAATAGAATAGTCAAAGCAGATGTCCCCAAGATCACAGTAAATGAAGAATTCACCAAAAGGGCAAATGCACTAAAATATCTAGGACTGACCCTCAACAGAAGCCAGTCTTTCAAGAATCACATTGATGCGGTCATCATAGGAGCAAAGACAGACAATAATGCACTGAAGGATATGGCCGCTGCGGACATAGAAAGTGGGATGTTGTACACATTCAGCCAGTGCCTAATGTCAGTCATTATTTATGGTCTGGGGATGCTAACTGTCAAAAACTTGGAGAAATTAGAACATATACAGATTCAGGATATGCTACCCATTGCTGACAAGCATAGAGAAAACTGGAAACTATCTTAGAGTTGCAAGTGATACAGAACATTTTCTTCATAGTGAATTGGACACTGAGAAAGGTAACAGACTAGGGGCAGATCCTGGATGGCCCAAGCTGAAAAGACAGTAAACTGCAACATTGAAGAGATTAGCTGAGGAAAGGAATGGGTAAAGGGACTGAGGAGAATGGAGGTTGTGGTGGTAACTGCAGCATTCCAATTAGTGGGGGGGAAACGCTAAGCCAGACATGTTGTCATGCTGTCAGAATCACAGAGCATGCTCAGGAATGTGGAATGTTTTCTTGGTATGGAATTGATTGTATCAGTCAGGAGTGTACAGATGGTGATTTTACCCAGGCTATGCCAGCATATTTGGGAATGAGCAGGCAGATAGGTTCCCTCGAATAGCACCACTGGGTTATGTACTGTGACTCGCAAGACAGAGGGGATGGGGTAATAGGTAAAATGGAAGATACTGGACTCCTTAGGGAGCGTTTACAGGCTCTGGGTGCCATTCGAGGGAAGGGCAAGATGAGTAGTTAACTAGATGATTGCAGGCACTTAACCAGATGATAATCGCCATGACCAATATGGAGGCTCTTCTTTGCCTGTTGGGGAAGGAGACAGCTATTATGGGTTTGTCCTGATTGCTGTGACATGGAATCTTTAACCAGTTGTTATTGTTTGCTAACTGGCTGTAAAGTAAATATTTTGTCAGTAAGCGCTGACTGGCTGTAAAGTACTTGTATATATGTTGTCAAGGAGTCCCGACTGGCTGTAAATGAGCGCTGACTGGTTGTAAAGTGTATATTTTGTCACTGATTGCTGACTTGCTGTAAAGTGTATGTTTTGTTATTAAGTGCTGACTTGCTGTAAATTATATATTTTGTAAATGAGTGCTGACTGGCTGGAAATTACTTGTAAATATTTTGTAAGCTGACTTACTCTTAACTATAATGTTTTGTTGAGTGCTGACTGGTATAAAGTACTTGTATATATTTTGTTAGTGAGTGCTGACAGGCTGTGAAGTACTTGTATATATATTGTCAAGGAGTCCTGACTTGCTGTAAATGAGCGCTGACTGGTTGTAAAGTGTATATTTTGTCACTGATTGCTGACTGGCTGTATATAAGTTGTCTATGAGCGCTGACTGGCTGTAAAGGGCTTGTAAATACATTGTCAAGAAAAGCTGACTAGCTGTAAAGTACTTTTATATGTCTTAAAGAGTGCTGATTGGCTGTAAAGAACTTATATATATATATATATATATATATATATATATATATATATATATATATATATATATATATATATATATATATATATATATATATATATATATATATATATATATATATATATATATATATATATATATATATATGACAATATATTATACAGTACATTTTTGTCATTTTGCTTTGACGGAAAGAATCACTTTTTAGTTTACATACACGTTAGAACAGTTCGGGGTTAACCGTGACTTTTTTTTTTTCAAAGCACATGTGCAGATTTCAGGGAATTGAGAAGTAGATCTAGCCCAAGATTGTTTTGTGGCACTCACCAAATGTTATATAAGAATTACCGTCACCTGCATGCTAACAAAACACCTGTCCGAAAATTTGCTGTACCTCTGAACATACATCATTTGCACCGGAGAGTGTCTTCTCGCAAACATATCAGTTGTCGGAGGTCACGAAGTGCCAGCATGATACCAGAATGCAGTTGGAGACACTGCCGTTATCCTCTAAGGTCTAGGTTTTCAAACCCGAATTCAGGTGAAACAAGGAAAACAATAGGTTATTCAGTTTCTGTTGTTTACTGTTTTTCATTCTTTGCTCTTTTACAGTTGATGAATAATTTTATTAACTTCATTGTAACGAGTTCCCCAGTTGAGCCACTACCCCCCTATTAAGCTTGTTTTAAAAGTCAACCAGTTATGGGTGTATCTTTTGAAGTGGAGTGCATCTGTCTCAAAGAAGTGAGGAAACTGCAGTCTGCACACAGATAAACAGATCTGTAAAATGGATGTGCACACAAAACTCAATTTCTGGAACAAGACCAAAGCCCATAAGTGGATGACATCCAGAACCTTTTGCCAGAGTTTAGTGAAGTGTGAGTTCTACTGGGGGTGAATACAAAGAAGGAGATGATTGTAATGAGTTGTTTGAAAAGTGTGTTATGAAAGGTTGTGTTTGTTAATGATGTTGTTGGTATATTGTAAATGCTAATGAGTGAGATTCATGGGTACATAGGGGACTTATGTGGCCAGTCTTGGCATGGAATGTTCTCGTTCATTGCAAGCAGGGAATTGTCAAATGGAATTCAGTTCAGTGTTTTCTAGCTTGTCTTTGTTGAACTGCTGCTGCTATATTTTTTGGCTGCCTTACATGCCATTGCTCCCCATCTGAGAAGTAAACCTAGGATGCAAATTCAAATGCAGTGGTTTCGCATATCGGACCAGTGCCAAATTCCTTCAGTGAAATATTGATATTTTCCTTGAAATTTATTTTCAGTCCGGCCTTGGGAACATTTTCATATTTGTAGCTTGTTGTAGAAGATTCTTATAAGTAGGTGGTAAAGGATGGATGAAAGAATGGCTAATGGTGCAAAAAATTTGATTTTATTGAGGAAGTATTGTGTAGTGTTAAATTTTTATTTTTTCTAAATTCTCGTAGTGTTCACAAATATATGTTTTTTTACCACTGCTACCTAATAAGTTGGTTGTGACTCCCTTCTGCCCCCCACACCACAAAAGTGGTAAATACAGGCAGCAGTAATGGCCCATGTGAAGAGCAGTTACACATTCCTCTAGTGGAGGTGACATATCCATTTATGGAACACATTAATTGGAACTGCCTTTGATTGACACATCATTTCTATAGTTTTTACTATAAAAATATCATGGGAATATATATATATATTCTATAGTTTTTACTAAACTTGATTATTCCCATCACCACAATAGATTGATCTATAAAAGTTGTGTCTAATACCAAATTCTTGATGTGCTGATGGCACAAAGAGGATCCCTTACTTTTATTTACATTTGCTGCATTGTGCATACATATTTATTACATGCATGTTTCACCTTTAAATAACTAGATAAAGCAGACAACATCCAACAGATTTGAAGATCTAATTAAGGAAAAAGGGTGAATATCCCCTTTCTCCCATATTTTTTGTGTGTTAAACCTCTGTCAACCAGATGATCAGATACTTACACTCATGTTCCTTTTGATCAAATACTTACAGCCAGCTAGATTTATGCTGGTTGATTGATTTTCTTATATTCTACAAACAGACAAAAACTTACAACTGTTGATTTAGTGTTGCTTGTTGAATTATTTTCTCTCTCAAAGTTTTCAATTTTGAATTTCATGCATAAGGCTGCTTTATTTTGATTTGGTCTGAGCACCATTCAGAAAGCAGTGACAAACTACTGAACATAAAATTATCAACTAAAACCCCCAAAAAACTGGCAATAAATGCTGGGCTTGGCTTACAACATCTTGGAAAAGCCTTGCAGCTAAGTGTGACTGTTTAACTTTTGCAGGCCCATACATTTTGACAGACTTGGCTTGCATTAATTTCTTTTTACTAAAATGGCAATAGACAATGTAGTAATATATTTCTAATCCTTAAAAAAAAAAGTATATATCTTTTAAAGCGGAATAAATGTACATTTTGAATAAATGTACATTTTGAACCTGATGATATGTTTTTGTTTAATACTGTTACAGTAACTAGGAAAGAAGAATTCAGCAGGTGTTAAGTTTACAAAGACACAATTTTACAAATCTTCACTTACCATGGTTTTGCAGCCACAACAGCAGTGAATATCTAAATTTGAGAATAACACTTAAAAGTTTGTTCAATTTCCTAACAAATTCCAAAGTTATAATGTTTCTGGGTTAGTTTGGCACTCAGAGACCCTAAGTTTTCACAGAGTGCTAAACAAAATTTCAAATCACAATTGGCAGAATAATGGACCATTTACACACATAGTATTTACTGTGTACAGTTATATACAGACTGTAGCTGCAGTGATTTCATTGTAGCTTAACCTTAATATGATACTGTCTGAAACAGTCCTTTGGATGCAAATTTGGGTGACTATTACATTCTTTTGCAGATGAAATGGGTCCTCCTGGGTTTACCTCGTTAGACTGAACAGCTGCCGCTCATGTGAATTCACCGTCTGAATCACTTCTCCGAAAAAATCTATTTTATTATCATTATCAGAACTAAAAACATCTGACCTAAACAATTTCAGAGCTTCAGCCGCAGAAGGACGCATTTTGTGGTCTGAACTTGTGGTTGGAACGATGGATGGTATCTATAGCCATAATAACACAAAATTAGAAAATCCACTTTCTGAAAATTACGCTACCAGTTGGAACCAAAAATCTGCGAACATAGACTTGTACGCAAAGAAAGATGTTGGAGTAACCTTCTCTGAATACTTTAATGGTAGTTCTGAACTAATACAGAGCCGTATGCAAATCTGTATGTACAAGGCACACGATCCACGCAGACAGTGTTGTTTGGGCTAATCGGAACTTCTCTATTAACACACACAGTGTTGCTCAGGCCTAAAAGAGTTAAGGGAACGACCGTGATGTAGCGGCCAGATGCTCACCTGCCGATCCCAAGGTCTTGTGTTCAAATCCGCATGGAGCCGGATGTTTTCATACATGACCTTAGCTCCCGCATTGACCCAGCCTTTTATGGGGATCAGGCAAAGACCTGGGAAGTAAAGATGGCTGGCGTGAAGTTAACCACATCGCCCATCAAGGGCTGGTTGTTCTATAAACATGTGAGTCTATCCTCATATGCTTGATGAGCCACTGGCGTGTAGAAGGACTTTTACCTTACACTGGATTATCATGTTCAACTATCTTCAAATATTTTTCATTGTCTAGCGCAACGGATGCTAGAAGTCTTGCCCAAAGCTGCACCTCCCAAACCCAGAGAGCTGACGGAGGAGGAGCTGTCCCTCTTGGTAGAAAAAGAAGAGCTCACCCTGATGGAGCTGCGCATCTTTTTGCGAGATGTCCTCAATAAATTAGGTGGCGACAAGAAGTTTTCCATATTTGCCAAGCCTGTCAATGTTGAAGATGTAAGTGTGTTTTGCTTTCAGTTCATTGTGAACAAAAACAATTTCATGTGCCCTGTCCACTGTGAAAGCAGGCTGGGATGTATCAACACTGTGTCTCTGGTTCTGGTAGTACACTGACAATTTGCTGTTCTTCTGTCTCTTGATATCTTCTACATTTGCCTTTCATAGGGAAGTTGGCACATGGTGTTGTGGTTTACAGCTAAGCTGCAGTATCTGCGACTTTTGGCCCACCACATCTGTTTCAACAAAACCTTAATAAGTGGTCTCTCTTTTTTTAAATTCTCAAGGAGCAGTGGATCTGTTCTTTTTTCCCCTGTAACCCAGACAGGGATTCTTTAAATATGATATTCTCACCTGTTTACCTCTTTCAGTCACACACAGTTGTTTCTTCAACATATTACATTTGAAGCTTTTGTCCTTAAGAGTAACCACTTTATTTATTTTTTTTTTTTATCTAAAGGAATTGAAAAAGGCATGTTACGGTAACAAGGGAAAGGATATGTTAATTTAAAAGAGGAGCATTGCAGAAGTTGTGAAATGCGTACTCTGTAGTGAATGTGTAGTGAGTTCCCTGGTGTTAGCAGAGTCAAAGGATGTTAATTAATGTTAAATATGTCAGTTTTAATTAGTGACAAATCCTTCAGTTGAGTCAAGAACCAGCGTCACAGCACTAGGGATATTTCCTCCATCTTCAGCAGCTGGCACAGTAAGCCATTAGCATTTTGATTATACATCCATCTTGCCTTTCCTCTGAATGTTGAGTGTCAGCCATATCACCAGGTCACTCCTAATCATATCTTTCTCTCCAGAGAATAATGAGCTGTTCACACCTCCTCATTGTTCACTTGCTCCCAAAGGGTCTTTCCACACCCGGATCGGGAGCGTATAGTGGATTTTTTGTCCGGGATATTCAGGTGTACGAGGTGGCGAACAGTCTGATGGATTGGCTGCTGTCATTTCTCTGAGTAGTGGGCTACTATGTGGTAGAGTGGATGTGGTGAGTGCTCCGTGGTATCGATTGTGCAGTAGAACAGATATAGAGTCCATACATTGAAGGACTAGCTTAGCGGTGGGTGCGGGTCTTGAAGATGTTCAGCATTGAGGGTGGAGGCAAAGGCAGACTTTTAGTCAGGTTGCCACTGGAACTATTAGCATGACGACTTTACTTGGCTACTGGGGAAAGACAGAGCACATGTGGGAGTGTCCCAAGTGCAGTGATGTCAATTCTTGATTCATTCATTCATTCCACACCTAGCTTGTTATGCATCAATTCATGGCATAGTGGTGCACACTCAGCCAGTGTGTCTTTGTTCATTTCCCAACACACCTGTTTGCCCTGGTACAAAGATACAGTAACTAGCCAGGACCTCTGAAGTGACCCTTGCCACCCTTTGAGGAGCTTCCCTATCTCCACCATTCTTAGCACCCTTGTGAATCTGCTGAATCACAAATCACAATATGTAATAGTAACTATGTTTTAGTGTATGTAATATAACAAATGTATTTGCTGTTATACTCTGGATGTGTAAGGAATTTATACAGTATTCCATGATCTTGTAGGCCGCAGATTACTATGACATCATTGAACACCCGATGGACCTGTCCACCATGATGGGAAAGATAGATCTGCATGAGTACACTACAGTAAGGGCATTCATGAAGGACATTGACTTGATCTGTTCCAATGCCTTGGAATACAATCCCAACAGGGGCCCAATGGGTAAGTTGACACTGTTTTCTTTTATGCTCTTGCATCCCCCTCCCCTACCCCAATCTCCTCCTCCCTCTCCTTCTCTCTCTCTTTCTTCCTCTCTCTTTCTCTTTTTTTCTCTCTCCGGTTTCCGGTCATTCTTGGACGTGTTTCAACAGTGAAGTGAAGCGCATCACTACTTTGTCCACGTCAAACAATGGTCTCCAGCTTACGCATGACCACATTGGCTAAACACAGTGAAACAGAAAAGCTGGCTGATAAAATTTTAAACACAACACCTAGCCCAGAGTCCAGGCCACCTACAACATCCCTTCGGTGTAACGGGCAGATCAAAGCTGAAAAAAAAACTGAACACATCCCGTGCTTCAATAGACAGCTTTTTAATACCTGACCAGTGCACCACAAACATATCTTCACCTAAACATGGTGACTGTACTAAATTAGACACAGGTGATCATTCACCATCATCACGCCCGGGTAACAGTGCAGGGGGTACCAATGTGAATAAAAATGTTGTATATCATTGCTATGATCTTGTCCGATCATTAGAGGACAGACTAACTCTTCTTATTACCAAAAAGTGCTGAAATACTGAAGAAAATATGGTATTTAAAAAGAAAGAAATATTCTCAGAGAAGAAAATGAGCATCTGGGAGTAATCATCAATACCACCCTCACTGCCTGTCAAGCAAACACCTATATATCCAGTTGGGGAGCATTTGATCAACAGATTTCACGTTGTAAGTGAGGTAAATGAAATTCAGGACGTGTTTTCCTTAACTACTACCACTATGGACCAACTGCCGGCACAGATGTCTCACACAGATACAGACCAAAACACAAATGACAGTCATCAGTTGCAGCGGCACGATCTAGACCGACACAACTGCATTTATTCAGTATCATTTATGGAACCATCTTCCACTTGATCTAAAAAAAAATAAAAAGATTTCCTGTTCATTTTATTGCAGACTTTTTCAGTTCATGCTTACAAGTGATTATAGGCCACTTTAAATGTAGTAAATAATGCATATTGCATTATCAGTTTGTTGCTTCTTCTTCGCATTCACCGCTTGTAAACTCCGGCGGAAAGTTCTGGTTAATCGTCCACTTCTGGACTGCAGTTCTCCTATTTCAGAACCTGAGTGTTACTTGTGCATTCAGTTGACCGATCTGACTAATTTGTATGCAGACTGTTAGTTCCTTGCCTCTCAAGCAGATGCATTCCGACTTCGAAGGAAGCTCCCAATTAGTCAACTCTTACAACATGCTTTTAGGTATGCAGTTGGTCTATTCTTGTTTTCCCTATAATAGGGCCCCGGAACCGACATGGGGAAGTTTATTACTAAATAAGGTGTGTATGATATGTATGTATGCGGATTAGTTTGTGTCTGTGTGTGTCTGTATGTATATATTGTATGTATATATGTGTGTGTGTGTATGTCTGTATGTGTACATCTGTACATGGGTGTGTCTGTGTATGTGTCTCTGTGTGTGTGCTTGTTTGTATGTTTTTCTCTGTGTGTGGGTGACTGTGTTTGTGTTTTTTATGTGTATATGCCTGTATGTGAATGCCTATATGTATGCTTATATGCATGCCTGAATGTATGTGGTGTGTGTGTGTGTAATATAGATATATATGTAGATTTGTATATGTGAGTGTGCGCGCACGAGTGTGGGCATGCATTTCACAACCTATGCTTTTGTGTTTTTTTTTTATATTCATAATATGCATTTTTTAATGAACATAACATCCGACATAATATACAACTGCTGTTTGAAAGATGAGTGTTTAGAAGGGCCAAATGTAAGACAGGCCTGTGCGCCCAATTTGTGACCATTTGAAAATAAAGTTTGTTTGTTCATTCTCTCTCTCTCTCTCTCTCTCTCTCTCTCTCTCTCTCTCTCTCTCTCTCTCTCTCTGTCTCTCTCTCTCTCTCACACACACACACACACACACACATGTACACACACTCCTGGTGATGCTTATCTTTAGTGCCTTTATTTACCACTTTTTAAGGTAATGTAGGACAGCTCATCTATGTAAATTGTTTTCATCTAGTTAATGCAAAAGTCGCTTGCAAAGTCTGCGAATGTTTATTTTAGTGTGCATATGTTTAAAAACATAATCAAATAGTTGATGGTCTACCAAGTTACACTTAATGAAGTCCAACATTGGAATATACAAGAAGAAATAGCAGAGGTAATCACTTTTACTGCTCCATTCCAAATCCAAGAGTATGACCGGTGCTCATAGTAAGAATACAGGGTGTAGGTGTGGGATGAGGTCAAAGTTGCTGGTGTGGTGAGTGTGAAAGTGAGTGCCTTCCAGGTCATCAGCATATGGGGTCAAGGTGGGAGACAATGTTTGACCTTGCATGGTCCATAGTCGAAGTGAGTACAGAGTCAAGGGGCAAGAGCAATAATTTGAGTTGGGTTCATTAATGCAGAATCTGAAATTGTTTGCTGGAATTTAGCTGGCATTTATTGTAACATTGAAGGATGGAAAGTTCTAGGCAGCAGTGATATCTTGCATGTAATAACCATGTGATCCACAATCATTCTGCAGACCGAATCATTCGTCACCGAGCATGTGCTTTAAAGGATACAGCTTATGCTATCATCAAAACTGACTTGGACAAGGACTTCGAGAAAGCTTGTGTAGACATTGAGGAGTCACGGAAACGAAGAGGTAGATATGCATTTTAATAGTTTTTGGTAATTCTCAATGATTATTTTAATTTCCAATATTTTTTGTTGCTGCCTTTTCTTGTAACTGTTTCTCCTATTATTGTGGTGATTTCCCAATATTTATTTTGTTTACATAGAGCCTAGTCCTCTTTAACTATTTTTCCCATGGTTTGCAGTTTGTACTTGGTCCATTTCAATTTCTAGCTGCACAGTATCTTGTAGAATAGTATTTAAAACTTTTTTTTTTAAAGTTAAATTTTCAAATGATTGAACTTGTTTTGTCATAAAATAATCTTGCAGAAACTATGAAATTTCCCTGGTATGTTATAATTTCTAATTTATCTATTTTGTGGTTTTGTTCCTTTTTTTTCTGTTTCCTATTCTTGTCTTTAACACCAGCAGTTAGAAAGACGTATCTTGTTCATTCATTACTGTCAGATCATTAGAATTTGAAACGACAATACCAAGAAATGAGGTTTTTGTTCCTACATATTTCTTAAATTAAATATTACATCCATTATTTCTTTGGTCAGAGTATTTATTAGAAAATATATCCATGTCTCCGTTGTTTAATTATAATGATTGTTGACTCCAGTATCAGGAAATAAAACGTTTTCAGTTGTGTTATCAAATAGATAGAATGGTTCAGAGAAATTGGTTACGACTGGCAAGTTTGGTGGAATGAGAGCAAGGTAAAGGTAAAAAGATTAATACAGGGATGGCTTAGCGAGATGGATGGGATGAGAAGAAAAACCGAGCTGATCAGTGATTCTGATTATCATCTTGGTGACAAAACATGATAGCCTGTGCTTATTGGCATGGCACATGAAAATGTTTCATAATTGTATGATGTGTGTTCACCTCAACTATGACAGCTAAATAGCTTCTATGAAAGGCTGTAAGGTCCAGGTTGTACTGATGTGAAGGCTCCGGACTCAAGTATAATTTGAGGAACATTACTCTTCTTACTCCATTCAGTCCATTTGATGTCTTCTTCTTCACACTGCTCGGCTGTAAACTCAAGCTGAAAGTTCTGGTTCTTTGTCCACCTCAGGACTTTAGTCTTGTTCCAGAACCTAAGTGTTGCATGCACAACCGTTTAACAGATCTGACTTAATTGTATGCAGATTGGTGGTTCCTTTTCTCTCAGGCAGATGCACTCCGATTTCGAATAAAGCCCTCAGTTAGTTTACTCTTACGGCATCGTTGTTGGGGAGACAGTGGGTCTTTTTTTTTTTTCCCACAGTGGGGCTGCTGAACCCATACGGGGATAATTTGTTGTGATTGGACATTAATTTTTTAGTTTCATCTCATCAGGCAGCAGGTCCTTTAAAGCAGGCATGTCAAACTAGCAGCCCTTTGCGAGTACACCTGTGGCCCGCACAGAAGAAATATTCTGCAATTTTTTTAATCAATGACTTCAATTAGTCGTCATATGTCGCCCTCGAGGAGTTTGACATGTCTGCTTTACAGAAGTCACTTTTGTCATGGCACATCTGAAAGTCTCAACTTCCTCTAGCCAATTCTCCAGCCCTAGTGCTTTCATAGCCAATGCATCTTCACTGTCATGTATCCACATTTGTGGAGGTCTGCCTCTACCATGTTTGCCAGAAGCTTTACCCACCATCGTGGTTATTTTCCAGGTCTCCATGGCATTTATCGAGGTCAAAATATCTCAACTGTTGGGACAGATGCTGTTTATGAGCCAGTTCTCTTCAATGCTCAGATCATGTAGGTTTAGTTCCCTCCACAGGTAAACTTCAGTTCTGTAAATCAGCTTCTGAAGATCCTACATTCCTTCTTCTTCCACATTTCCTCCTCCCCTAAACACTTTAATGAGGTAACTAGAGTGAGAAAAGGGGGAAAAAAGAAGAGAATTAACATCTATAGTCTAATAGACGTGAGGTCAAGCAGCATGAAGTTTAAATTTTTTTTTTTTACTGTTTACAGAAATTAGCGCTAGGGACTTTATATGGGACTGTTTGCATCTTTTGACTATCCAGTAGCTTTGAAGGCAAATAGTATTAGTTCTGTAGGCCTGGATTGGTTGTGTTCAGTGTAAGGTATATATACTAAATCACAAATTCTTCAGTAAAAATTGTATTTCTATACGTATATAGAATAATATAAAATATTTATGTGTTTTCCCCATAAACTCTGCACCTTTATAAATGGATCCACTTACAGATCACAAGTCTACAACTGTGCCAAATTTCTACTACACCAAGCCTAATGGACAGCATCAGTTGTCTTGCAAGTCTCAGTCTGTCACACTCAGCTATCTTGACAACTCAAAACCATCCAGATCCATCCCAAAACCAGAAGGCGAGAGATTTAGCCGCAGGGTTCGTGGCATGAACATTGATCCTGTGCCACCTCTAGAAGCTGTAGAGAAAGTTTACAAGATGTCACGGACAGGCGTCTCCCCCTCTGAGGAAGGCAAGGATGAAGGTCACAATGAGCCAGGATCTGCTGCACCTCGGGGACACACTTCTTCCAATGCAAAAGGGGAGAAAGGATGTAGTAGCAGTGCCACACAGTTGCCTTTAGACAGAGCTCACTCGAATGAAGAAAAAACAGTCGTCATCGCTGTACATAAGCTGGATGAGCAAAAGAAAATGGTAGCATCTTTATCATCAAGTAGCAAAAAGAAAAAGAATAAATGTGTATGGTGTAAGCCTCGCCGCAAGCGTCCTAAATTTTCCATTGTGCGGCATTCACTTAATCGGGTGAGTGGGGGCGAGGGAGCTGAGGATGAGATGAGTCATGAGGAAATGAATGAAGAGACAGCAGCCCATGATGCTCACAAAACAGACAGTGTGCAGCTTGTAGTGGATACAACAGAACCTGAAGGTAAGCAAAGTCTTCTGCAGTAGGTCCTTTGTAGAATTTGCCTGAAAAAAATTTAGGTCTCTCACCATCACTACCACCTTGTGCCCTTTCCTATGCAAGCTGTTTTTTTTATCTTGTGCCCATCTTCATGCTGGCCGGCCCCTGCCCCTACATCCTAGCACCATGTCTTCTGAAACAATTTTGTCTTATCTGCCGTGGGACTTGATATGGCCAAAATATTTCAGTATTTGAAACAAGATGCTGTTATTTAAACCAATCTTCCTTGATGGTTAAGATGTCAGTATTTCTTTTCTCCTTTCTCCTTGGTATTCTGAGAATCTTTCTGTAGCATTTCAGCTCAGAAGCCCCATTTTCTTCCTTAAAGACTGTGAGATAGTTAACATATTTGAAAGTAAAATTTAAAGTAAAGTAAGGGACCTTTTTGTACCAGCGGCAAATCAGGAATATTGTGCTAGACTTTTTTTTTTTTTTAAACAGACCACTTAGCTCTCGTTGGGCACGCCAGCCATTTTTACCTCCCTTGACATAACCCATATTGGGTCGACATGGGACCATGGTCAGTTTTTTCCTTTTAAACAAGGGAAATCCAACTTAGTGCAGATTTTAACTCATGATCTTTTGGCTGGTAGGCAAGCATCTAGTCACTACACTTGTGTGGCTCCCAGTTACTTCACTGAAATAGTCAAAAGGCTAGGCCCATAGCAGATACTGCTTTTGAGATTTCAAGATTTAGGCCTTCATACATTCTTGGCCATGACATTTTAGGTTGTTGGTCAGCTTCCCTCATTATTGCTGGGAAAAATTATGGAGATTATATGCTGCACATATTTAAAAATCTGTGTCAACCCCAGAATCACAGTAAGGACCATTTCTACACCAGTAGCGCATCCAGCATACGATACCAAACTTATATTTTTATAGACTGATCAGCACTCAATGGTTGATGTTGTCAGACCACCCTGGTCGTTAATACTTCCAAGGACATTACCTAACACCACTTTTAGGCTCGATCTACTTGGGAGTTGAGATCAATTTTGAAGAATAAAATTATGTGTTGATTCAACCCGAAGACCTTGAGGCTGGTATATGAGCACCCAGCCACTATGCTACCGCCAGAGCCATATTTGTTGGTTTTAAAATACCCAGCCACTTCTGGGGATTATACCTGGACTACTGCCTTGCCAGGCAAGCGACTGCATTAGTACTTGTAGTTTGTGGTTGATACAATGTTGTTGCTCATATTCCTATGTTGTTGGTATCTCTGGGGTTGATGTACCCACATATGTATTTGTCTAGGGGTTATTGGGCCGAAACAGTTGTTGAAGATCGATGACCCCTTGATGTGCATACTTCCCCAATAGAGTATTTCTTCTTTTCTTGGATTGGTCTTCTGTGCGAGGTCTTTGTCACATATGGCTATATTGTGGGTGCAAAAATGTTTTTTTCAGTCCCAAGGAATGCATTTTACGTTCATAGGTTCTTATTTAGAAGCCCTATGAACGCAATGTGCACTGATTTTACATCTCTTGACTATCCCTTGGCCTCTAATGCTACACCCCCTGGGACTAAAAGAGTTGAGTAGCTCTGCATCACTGGCTAGAAGGAGAAGGGTTATGATTAAGTAAACATTCCTGGACAGAAGGTGGAGAATTATGTCTCAGTAAGTATCCCTGGACAGAGGGGACGGGTTATAACTAAGTATCCTTGGCCAAAGAGGACAGAATTATGGCTAAGTAAGCATCCTTGGCCGGATAGAGGGGGAAGAGTTAAACCTAAGTAATTCCCCCCTCCCCCTCCGGGACAGATGAGATGCAAGCAAAATCTCCAGATTTGGGGGGAGGGGGGTGTTAGCAGTTTAAGCATCCCTGGGAGGGGGGGGGGGGGGTATAAGTGTTTAAGCATTCCTAAGCCTCTTGTTACACTGATCTCAAGTTGATTTGCTTGTGTGTTACTGAGGTCCACAGAGAGATGATGTATAGTAGCACTATAACTTACCAAGTATGGCACATGCGGCAGCTAAGCAAGGTTGGCATGAGACTGACTGGCTCGTCTTAAATACAGCTTCAGTTACAAAATTTGAGTAATCATGAGCACTTCTACATATGGAGTTGGCCTATGCTCCATTCGGAGTTGAAACTTCGAAGAAAATGCTGTTTATGTGTAAATTTTATAAAGCACAATTCAACAACAAAATGACTCCTAAGACACATTGACATGCATTGTTATTGTAAACAGAATCAAAAGAAATGAGAAGTCCAGGCAGAATATTTACAAGAAGTAGAAGTCCTGCCCATATAAGTCCAGCAGCCACTTGTTCTTCTAGAATCAGCACCAGGCAGAGCAGTGTGAGTCCCCGCTCTATAGCAGCAGCTCACTGTAGTTCTACAGCCCAGCCTCAAGATCATTCAAATGCACCAGAGCCAAGTAAAGAAAGTGAACCTATGATTGTGGATGAGCCTGCACCTTCAGAAAACAAAGAGCAGAACTCTGAAAAATCTGTTACTGGTAAGGACTTTAGAATATTTGTTGTTCAAATTGTAAATGATTATGTTATATGGCTGTTTGATTGGCTATGGGAGAGACCCATGTTCTAAGTTGGCTATGGGAGAGACCCAGGTTCTAACTCTGTAAGGTGGGGCATTTTATTTTTTACTACCAGTACTCGCCACATGTTGCTGTGGCTCAGTCTTTCGAAATGGAAAAGAAAGAAAATAAAACATGCATGTGTCTAATACGGGTAATATCAGTCAGTGTCTGCGCAGATATGCAGATAGTCTGATTTGCCGACTCTAGAACACGCCTAACAGCATAAATAACTTGCAGCGTGAACACAGCAAAAATTTCAAAAAAATTGAATCATGGAAAACAAAGCCAAGATGCCAGTGTGATCGTCGCTGCAGCTGTGTAGGTCATGTTATATAAAAATATGCGCATATTTGAATGCAATGTTGTGTGAAATTTTCAAAGCAATGGAAAATTTCAAAGCAGTCGGTATGGATCATGGGGGAAAAGGCACATATTGGCAGCCCTGCTCCGCAGTCAAAGCTGCGGAACTAAAAACAATTCCGTGCCGGCAACGAAACAAAAACTAATCGTGATCGTTGCTGTAGTTATGTAGATAGTGTGACACTGTTGCATAAAACACACGCGTAGTCGAATGCAATGTTATGTGAGGTACTCATTTTAAGCTGGCTTAACTGGGTCAGTATTGGAATCTGTGCCTCTGTTTGTGGATTTGAGGCTATGACCGCCAGTTGACTGGCAGACAAATGCTAGTTATTGCTCCAGTCTGCTGTATATGGAGTATGAAGGCTCCCATTTGATTGATTTCACTACCAATATTTGAGTGAACACACTCGTCTCCTCCCTGCCTTCCGAGAGAAATTGTTAATGTTCATGTCTAGTCTAAAGGCATACATAGTTATTAGTCATGTAGCATTTCGTTAATGATAGTTCTCTCTCTCTCTCTCTCTCTCTCTCTCTCTCTCTCTCTCTCTCTCTCTCTCTCTCTCTCTCTCTCTCTCTCTCTCTCTCTCTCTCTCTCTCTCTCTCTCTCTATGTGTGTCTCTCTCTCTCTTTCTCTCTCTCTCTCTCTCTCTTTTTTTTATTCATATGTCTGTCTGTCTGTCTATTACATGTATGTACTAAGTACAAATATACAAACATGCATCCATACATTACCAAAACCCATCATTGTACACTCTTAGACTACTGTTTATCTATCTCTAGATGTTATCCTTTCAGTCTGCATTCTTGTTCACCTGTCTCCAGCTTTTCCCTTAAGGTATGATTTTTTATAGGAGTGCTGTCTTTAAAGGTGGCTGACATATTTGACTTACCTGTATTTATTTTGTCGACCATCTTTTTATTCCAAGTCTCTCTAAAATCTCTTAAGTTTTTTATATGGTTTTGTTTGTGTTAAATCCAGCCTATTCTGTTGTTTATTCCATCTCCAGGACCTCAGTTTGACTTTCTTATTAATATTCATTGCCTAGATTTCGACCTCATTTAACTCTGGTGTGTGTGTACCCATAATATTTAACAATGTATAATGTTTCATGAAAAACTGTGAATGTTTTTTTCTTCAGATTCCATAGACGTCCCTAGTAGTAATTCCGACCCATTAGTACAGGCATCGCCACTAGTCGCTGACCTTCCAGAGAGACCCAAAGCTATGAAAAGACTAGATCTAGAATCTGTAACTGTAGACAGTGGGGTGGGCAGCTCTGTTGACAGCAATGGAGATTCACGTGACAGTATGGATCACAGAGGAGAGGTAATAGTCATGTCAACTGTGTTCACATACTACCTTATGGTGAGACACTGCCACGTCACATTATTATGATAATATCGGCTGTGAGGTTCTGTCTCTTCTTCTTTTTCGTATTCACCAGCTGTAAACTCTGGCGGAAAGTTCTGGTTGTTCATCCACTTCTGGACTTGAATCTTGTTCCAAACCTTGAGTTTTGCATACGCTTCCATTTTTAGAAATCAGGCTTATTTGTGTGCAAACTGTTGGTTCCGTGCCTCTCAGGCAGATGCACTCTGACTTTGAAGGAAGCGCCCCGGATTTGTCGCCTTTTACATTGTGCTTGTTAGGGGGGCAGTGGGTCTTCTCTTCTTTTCTTCCAAAATGGGGTCCTGGAACCCACATGGGGAAGGTTCTGTCATCTGTTCTCTTGTGTAAGCTGGTGGTATACTTGCATCAAATATCTGTGATGGCAGAATGGTTATACCTGTTAATTTATCTTCTTCTTTCATTCACTGAAATGATCTGTATCTGCCATGCTATCTTGTTGCTTTATTTTCTGAAGGTTATGAGTTTGGTTTCAAACTATGTTGCTCGGTTTGCAGGTGTAGATGTTTTTGCAGATTCCTTGAGGCCTCCGCTGGAACTATGGATTTTTCTTTGCTCTGTGCAACTTGTCTTGATGGGCAGCCAGCTACTCTACAAAGAGAAGCGCTCATTTGGGGCAACAACTGGTGCAATGAAGCTGCTTCTCTTGTTTGTGAGCACCTTAAAAACACATTTTTTTTTTTTTAGACTAGCTCCTACAGAATATCTCTTTATCTTCTTGTTGTGATGTTTACCCAGCCTACTGTTCTGATCTGTTTAGACTTTCATTTGTTCAGACTGCTTTAAAAAGCTCTCACTGGATGATTCTGCACCAACAGTCTCTATGACAGCAGTGTCCAATTTTTCTCTGAAAAAATTTAGCGACTTCTTCTAATAAACTCATTGCATTCTTGCTTTGCTTCATACTGCCACACCTGCTAATACACATTTCTTATGCCACTGGGACCAGTTTCATGTGATCATGCCTTGTAATTAAACTCCAGATATTTTTAACTTGTAGTTGGCAAGTAGGAGCAGGTGCATGTGGCTAATGGGCAGGCATGTTACTTTCATATTGGGAACATGTTTTCTATTCTATAGGTAATATTTCATGACATGTTTTCTTTCAATGGGTAACACTTTCAGGGTGTGTTTTAAATCTTTTAGGTAACTCTTTCAGTATGGTGACCATAATATCTTGAATTTAATTTTTATTTATTTTTATAATTGTGTTGAAAATTGAATGTAGATTAGAAAGTAAGTTTAGTATGAACTACTAGAGGCTATGGAAAATTTTTGCATTGCAGTTTGGAATACAGATTCATACCAGGAAGTTAGTGTGAACTTGTTTTAATTGTATACTTCAATGTGCTAACACTTCTCCCAATTTTTTTTTCACCTTTCTGATTTTAGGCCAGATCTGTGTGTGCTGTAATTACTGTGTTGTTGTTTTTTTTTTTTTATTAACTGTGCTAATAGTGCATAATATGTTCTGGTTTCATTCATATAAAATGATCAAACAGCTGATTTATCTAGCATAACTATTTGTGATTCTGTCTCTTCTGTTTACATTAGCAGCTATTATCAAACAGCTCATTTCCTGCTCGTGATTCTCAATTATTGAAAATTCTGTATTGGTGACAAAATATAATATAAATGATGGTGCAGTTTAAACAAAATCTAGTAGCATTTTATGCTGAAACCCCTATAACTTTGAATTTGGTTCACAGGTAATTTATCAGATTTATGAGCTCAGGACAGTTAAAATGGGTTTAGAAAACTGGTTAAAACTATCTAACCTGTTAATTTTCAGGGAGATCCTGGAGCCAGAGCTGTATCTGTCTTTGCTGGAGCTGAAGGTGTGTTTTTATATCAGCTGTATTTTTTATATGTCTATAAATTTTTTTTTCGCACATGACATTGTAATCATTTTTTATGGATTGCACTGACATTGTTGGTGCCCTTAGAAGAGATGGGCTGATCAGATGATTCTGGGAGCTGCATGTTCACATCATGGCCAAGAATGTGAGAATTGGAAGTAAAGATCGCCCAGCCAGGCAAGAGAGGCACACCAGACGTACAGGAAGTTTAGGACTGGTAGTATCAACCACGGGACGCTGATGTAAATGTCAAAGGGAGAATCTGAGCACCTGTGGATGTGTCCGGACTGCAGCGAATATAACCCACTCAAAACTTATTATCATTTGACGAGTACAACAGTGGAAAACTTAGAACTAATAATGGTACACTTTTATATATACACACACACACACATACATACATATATATATAAAGAGAGAGAGATACACATACACACACATATATATACATACATATTTATATATATACATACATATTTATATGTGTGTGTGTGTATATATAAAGACATGCACATACATATGTACATACACAAACACACACATATATATATAAAATTTTGGAGAAAACCAGAAGCACTTAGGAATAGCTCATTTGGTTCAATGTCGTAAGCATCAAAGCCCTAGCCTCAGCACCACGTACACCAATAATCTGGGCAGTGTGCAACTTTTCTGCCATCCCCCGGCTCGAACTTGAGACCAGACTCGCTTTGGGATTGTCACCTGACGTCCAGTGCGCTATCAACTACTATGGAGTGCCGGGCATATATATATATATATATATATAAAGTAAATGTTATTTTGAAGTAACTGACTAATGCAGAAAGTATTTAAAAACAATAATAGCACAGTGTGTGTCATTTTGTTTATACCCAGACAGGTCTTGGCCAACCTTTTCCTTTCAGTTAGCACTGCGGCTTATAGGTTAGTTAGGTTAGTCAGATGGGGGGGGGTTTGGGGGCGAGAAAAAGAAAACGCTTCTCATGGCTTTTAGGCAGTGGTACAAGAGTCATGCCATGGAAGAGACAGGGGCCTCGCCATGTAATATATTTCTATAGTTAGCTGTAGATACATTACAGCCAACATCTATTGTTCTATTGTGAAAGCAGCAAACCCCCCCCCCCCCCCCCCTTTTTCTCTTTTAATTCTCCCCCCTCCCCCTTTTTGTGTAACTGAATAAACACATTTTTTTCACGTTCTTTGTCTTTTTTTTATTTTATTTTTTTTTTATTAGTCGCTGAATAAAGATTAGTACTGTCGCAAGTAATCCAATGAAATGATTAAAATGCATCATAATACAAGTTAAATATACAATCCTTCTAACTTATTGCAAGAAAATGTCCTTAAACACTTGCCATGTTTTCTCCCCCCCCCCCCCCCTCGTCCACAGATTTTAATCAGAACTGCAATAAAGATCTCATGAACAGAGCAAGTGCAATCTTAAACGAACCCACTCAGAAAGTAGTGGTAGATATTAATCGTCTAGTATCCTTGCTAAACCGCTTGGTTGCTCGCACCGATGGCTACTCTGTGGAGTCTTTAGAGAAAATATACAGTCATCTCAGTCAAGTGATCTTCAGACATCGTCATGAGTATGATAAAAGTGCTATGATTTCCGTGAGTATCTTAGCTGATTTATTGCATGTTGTGTTATGAACTTATGTCATAGACCTAGGGGCTTTCCCATGAGCTTCAGTCCCTATCTTCAACAGACAGCACATAGTTCCAGTATCAAGGTCAGCTGCCTTATGCTTAGACACACTCTGTATATTTTTTTGCAGATTGTTAATATATTCCTTGCATTTTGAAGCAGAATGTCTTAGTGTATGCCTCATTTTGAATTATTTTTACAAGTATTTAAATGTATTGTCTGTCTATCAGTCTGCCTGTCTGTATCACTCCCTCCTTGCAACAACAGCAAACACACCCCCCCCCCCCCCCCCCTCCCAAAAAAATGATCTCCATGAGCATACTTTATAATCAACTGCTGTGCCACCATTTTAAATGTCTAGCCAAAATATTGCAAAATGCATATTAGCATGTCTGGATTTTGGTAAACATAAAGCTATAGATGGAGGTTGGCTGCTTGGAGATCTGTGTGTTTTTTTAAATGACCTAAGTATTAAAAAAATGGTGCGGTTATGGATTCTTTTGAGAGAAAAAATGATGCTGTACACATGTGGGTTCTGAGGCTTAATTTTTTAGGACAGAAAAACAATAATAGAGTCGTTGCCTCCTAAAAAAAAGCTTGTCTTCGGAGACTAGTAATTAGGGTTTTGCTGAAATCAGATGTTGGGCGGAAAGGTGCAGATATCACAGATTAACTGTAATCCATAACGCAAGGTGCCATTCGCTCTTTTTTAGGGTGAACGCAGAAGATGAACTGCCTTGTCTTTCTGTCAGATCTTAGTATAGAAAGTATTTAAACTAGCACTATTTCTGTGTCAGCTTGTTAGTGTCCCATTTGAAAACTAGTGAAAAACAGATCAGTCCCAGTGAGATCTAGAAGCTCACACATGGAAGTAAATGGGTAAGGCAGTCATTAGATTGCCAACAATAATATTCCACCACTAGAAAAGCAATTCATTGTCGACAGAAACAAGTTAGTCTAAGCAGGCTGGCATTTGCACACACAATACTGCCTAAAATACTTGCAGTCTAGGTGTAACTGGACCCACCATTTTTTGTGCGGTTTTCAATACAAAACCATGACAGGCACAGATGACATAGCATTCCATATGAAATCCACAGCTAACAGTGTCGCACCAAGCACTGACTCATGCAGCAAAACCTTTCTTTTTCCAGAAATAGGACAATTGTGCCAGCAAACTGGCCAGAAGCAAATAACTCTTCAAACGTCGGACACCAGTCCACACTTTATGCCATATTGGACCAGAATTATTATAAACTAGCTTGTATGTGTGATAAGTCTTGGCAAAGAACAAAGATAATGTGAAGAATGTCAGCCACATTATCTTTAAGCAGATCTGACTTAGAAAATGGGTGAACTAACATGATTACAAGTAGTTAATCATGTGAAAAATTTCAACTACTGTGTTATTCTGTTAGGTTCTGGTACAGAAAGAGGTTGAACTAATGCAACCACTAGTAGTTAAAACTGTAAATTATATACTTTATGTTTATGCCTTTTCCTTTCCCTTGCTTAGAAAGTTGATGAACTGACACAACCTGTAGTAATTAAACCTGTGAATTATATCATCTGCCCTTTTTTTCTGGCAGGTCCTGGCACAGAAAGTGGATGAACTAACACACATCGAACCTTTACTCAAGGCAACATCCTCGTCACGACCTCCCACTGTTAAAGCAGATTAGTTTTATAGTCCACCCCAAGAGCATCTACGCTCCTTCAGGGACATATTTATTTTCATTGCCTTTGACATTTGAACAATGTGTGTATGTGTACAGTTTAACTCTTTCAGTACCAGGCAGGTGGTCTTTCAGCATGTTATGAATTAAGAAGTTGTTAACTTTAACGTATGTTTGGGTCTGGGGAGTTAAAATAATAACACTGTGGCACTGGAGGAATTGTAAGAATTGGGGCAGACTGGCTATGTAAAATGGCTAAATGGGTCACAGTTATTTCACACTTGTATCCCTCCCCTGTGTACTTTATGGTGCCCCAATTTTAACTTCTTTTAAGGCTGAACCGGTCTCTAGGATTTGAACCTTCAAATTTATATCCAGAGTAAGTTTGTAATTTCAAGGTGATCAGACCTTCGGGTAACAGCCCCGAGGGGGAATAAACCAGGCAGTTGAGAAAAGTGTATCATGTCAGTTGAAACAATCATGCTGATTTGCTTGGTACTAAATGAGTTTTGCCTGTTGCAATCTGTGTTGCATAAGAGGAAACCTCCGCAAGCATTTGATAACTAACCAAATGGCAGCAACATCTTATTTTAAAGGAACATCTGTTAGTTTTCCACTCTTTACTTCCGATAAATGGCATTAAGAAAACAAGATCAGGCAGCACTTATATTCATCTTGTATGACTTTTCCTAGACATGAATATGAACTTTATGAAGAGGTTTTGTAGTTAGCGAATCTGTTAGTTTTATTGTGGTAGCAGTTTTGTTTGTGCGTGTGTGTGTGTTGTTCATATATCTGTATAAAAAAAAATGTATGAGGTGCATGAAGGTTAAAACTGACAGCACAAATATTGTCATAATGCATTTATTTGTGAACGAACAACAGTTTTAAACTGTACCATGTGACATTTGTCTTTGTTGCTTCTCCCGTTTCCATCATTGAAGGCTATGCAGGAAACACAGTTAAGAATTCTTGTTCAGATGATGAAAGTTTTTTTTTTTTTTTTTTTATGACTGGAGTAAATATAAAACAAACAAAACTCTAGGCTGCACAGTTTATGGCAACTGCATTAGCCATATGACCCTACATCATCTGACTCGAGAGATTAGGCCCCCCACCCTCCCCCATTGTGTCCTACACCGGACTAAGATATTAAACACAACGATTTTTCATCACTATACTCACATAAATTTCAGCCTCTCTCTTTGGTTTTTGTAGTGAAAGGGTTAATAGCAAACATTGCAAAAAGTAGATGTCCTAAGCAACAACATAACATTGAAATGAAGACAGCCTTCCCAGTGTCTGATGTAATTTGTTGTTATTTTAAAGCCCCACCCCGGCTGTGGCCGGGGGTCCCTAATATAACCTAACAGTTGAACGGAGTTTCTGGGACCTGTCCCCGGGTGATTCTCATCTGAATGGTCGCACTTTGTGTCACCAGGTGTTTATTCCTTAGTGTGATGTCGTGGTGGGTTGAACATCAGTCAGTCGACAACATCAAACAGATAAGAAAAAATATATATAGATACAGTTCCCATGAAGCACAGTAAACTTCTTATTATTGCAAGCTATTTTGAATAAGATAAGAAAAATGTTTTGTTAATGTAAATTGAAAACTGCTTCCTTTCATCCTCTTTATGAAGTCAAATATTTTAAGATAGCAGTATTCCAGTATATGCTTGTTGTGTCAGTGGTATATGTGCTTGTTGTGTCAGCGGCAGTCCTCCACTGTATGCTAGTTGTGGAAATTCTCCATTGTATGCTGCTTTGTCAGTGGCATTGTTCCCCTATGTTTGCCATGTTGTGTCAGTGGAAGGCCTCCACTGTATACCTGTTGTATATCAGTGGCATTGTTTTGCTGTATCTTTGTTGTATCAGTGGAATTCCTCCACTGGATGCTTGCTTAGTCAGTGGCAGTGTTTCGCTGTGAGGTTGTTGTGTAAATTGTAGAAGTATTCCACTGTATGCTTGTTATGTGAGTGTTCTATTATGTACTTGGTGTGTAAGTTGTTTTGTTGGCAGTTTTCATCAGTTTGCATGGGACTGAGACTTTTTATTTGCCAACGTATAATTAAGAATACACTTTAAATGCTCATGAAATTTTTCACTTGTGTATAAACGTTTTTTTTTTTTTCATTTTAATTTAAGAAATCCTGATCACATTTCTGTGTTTTATCCCCATGTTTTGCTTTCTTTGTTTCCTCCCAGACATTATGTTACAGCTCAATCTTTGTGGCATCTAGAGATAGTGAAATCTGACATTTGCAGACATTCAAAAAAGATATATAGCAATGGCATCACCTTTCTAAAGAACCAAGTGCACTTTTCTGCAGTGAAATCTTGAAAAGGGAGAAAAGTATTCATGCTCTTGCCATTGTACTGATAATACTCCTTTTTAAAAAAAAATTGATAATTTATAACACCAGTATGTTGGAGAAACATATTGGCTTCCTTTTGTTAGTCTACTGGGATTGTTGTCACTAAAGATGCTAAATATATTTGACTAGCCGTTATTGAAAGGCAGCTGGTGGTGATCAGTCATTAGTTTGATGTGTCTCAGTTAACATGGTCTGGCTAGTGATACGAATGCCTGCAAGCTTGGGCCATGTAGTGACCATCGGTCCCAAGATATTAGTGTCCTATTAAATCATCTGGTTCTGACATTTGGAGAAGGATGATCATTTTGTAGTTCTGGAAGGTATCAGAAGTCAAGCAGATGGTGGCCGCCATTCTTTGTGTCAAGGAATTGATTGTGTTTTATTAAGTTCATTGTGAATTTCAGGTGCACTCACAGCTAAAAGTCATGTAGGCCTGCAGCTCTTCCTGCATTTTTACAGTATTTGTAATTGTATATGTTTTTTTTTATGTGATAGGCAGAAAGGTTGATGCTGTCAGAGTAAATCCGTGAGTGCTTGGTCTTTCCCACCAGTTGCCATTGTGCATAATTGCAGATCATTCTATATGTATAATCATCTCTTTCAGTCTCCTGCTTGCTCTGAAATGCAGAGCCCTGGTTCAGGTACACTAGTATGTGCTGTGATAATTCATCAGTTATCAGTACAAGATTTCCTAACTTAACCTCATCACAGTAGATAGCAGACAGACATAGGAACATGAGACCACTGACATCTGGTCAGTTTCTGTATAGTCCATATTCTGGGCTGCTCTCAGTGTATTTCATTGTGCTGATCACAGAAGCGAGCAGACAGACATAGGAACATGAGACCACTGACATCTGGTCAGTTTCTGTATAGTCCATATTCTGGGCTGCTCTCAGTGTATTTCATTGTGCTGATCACAGAAGCGAGCAGGATAACATTTGACTTCATTCAAGCTGACAGAAAGAGCACTTTAACACATTAGGCAATTTGTATTTGTCATCATTTATAGTGTTAGGCGAGCACACGCCAGATTTGTTACGCTTTCATAAGTCTTGACGTCTACCCAGAATAATTTTGGTATGTGACATATTTATCATATGTTGACTGCACCCTAGCATAATTTAGGTATGTGATGCATTTATTATACGATAACTGCCCCTAGCATAGTTTTCATGTTGTATTTATCATATATTGAATGTCCCCGCACAGTTTTGGTATGTGACAATTTATCATATGTTGACTGCCCTCTGGAATAGTTCTGATATATGTGTTGACTGCTCCTTAGCATACTTTTGGTATGTAACGCATTTATCATAGGTTGACTGCCCCCCAGCATAGTCTTGGTATGTGGCACATTCATCATACTTTTGACTGTCCACTGGCGTAGTTCTGATATATCACATTTATGTTTTGTATATGTTAACTTCTCTCTAGCGTGGTTTGATATGTTAACACTATTTTTCTTATGTTTTGACTCCCCTCTGCCATCGTATTTCTTTAAACTGGTATTTAAGTGGATATTTAATCCTCATTAACATCTCAGTCCAGTATGTTACTCAGATGTTTCTCCTTGAGGCCTCACTGCATATATAGAAAGCTTTAGCTGAGATTGATGGTGTGTGAGTGTTTGTCAGATAACTTTCCCCAACTTTTAACAGTCTGTTATCCAAGATCAGAAATTCTAGAGAGACCAAAATAAATGTAAGATAGTGGTCCTGTTTAGGAGAAGCATTACAGAAACTTCTGTGTGCACCATTTGTAAACTTGGCAGAGAGCCCTGTTCGTTCATGTCTGGATTTTGCTGTTGTTTTAGGGCTTAGATGTTCAGTTTGTTAATTATGATTATTTGTCTGCTATAGAGGTTGGACTCCTTGAAAATGTTGTTTGTTGTTGTGTAGAGGTTGGACTCCTTGAAAATGTTGTTTGTTGTTGTGTAGAGGTTGGACTCCTTGAAAATGTTGTTTGTTGTTGTGTAGAGTTTGGACCGTGAAAATGTTATTTGTTGTTGTGTAGAGGTTGGACCGTGAAAATGTTGTTTGTTGTTGTGTAGAGGTTGGACCGTGAAAATGTTGTTTGTTGTTGTGTAGAGGTTGGACTCCTTGAAAATGTTGTTTGTTGTTGTGTAGAGGTTGGACCGTGAAAATGTTGTTTGTTGTTGTGTAGAGGTTGGACCGTGAAAATGTTATTTGTTGTTGTGTAGAGGTTGGACCGTGAAAATGTTGTTTGTTGTTGTGTAGAGGTTGGGCCGTGAAAATGTTGTTTGTTGTTGTGTAGAGGTTGGACCGTGAAAATGTTATTTGTTGTTGTGTAGAGGTTGGACCGTGAAAATGTTGTTTGTTGTTGTGTAGAGGTTGGACCGTGAAAATGTTGTTTGTTGTTGTGTAGAGGTTGGACCGTGAAAATGTTGTTTGTTGTTGTGTAGAGGTTGGACTCCTTGAAAATGTTGTTTGTTGTTGTGTAGAGGTTGGACCGTGAAAATGTTGTTTGTTGTTGTGTAGAGGTTGGACCGTGAAAATGTTGTTTGTTGTTGTGTAGAGGTTGGACTCCTTGAAAATGTTGTTTGTTGTTGTGTAGAGGTTGGACCGTGAAAATGTTGTTTGTTGTTGTGTAGAGGTTGGACCGTGA